GTCGTTTATCCGAATCAATTGGGGACTGGGGTTGTTCGGATAACTTATTTTTCGGATAACCAGTTATGTACGAAAAAATATATTAATTTATCCCGTGTTGAAATTTTTCTCCGTTGCGTGTCGCTTCGCGTTGAATTTTCGTCGATGTTAAGCCTAACGAAGACTTGTATCGATTGAAATTATTTTTTTATTTTGTACGAACAAAATAAATATATTGAAAAATATAAAAACAATAAAAAATTATACTTCAGAAGTTAATTTAGTATCAAAAATGTAAAATATTTGAGTAGCCCAAGACATAGTCAAAGATTGCAGTGCCACAGCACTGGTAAAAATTTAAATTTGCCGACTGGAATTCTTTCAGATGATTGACGTTTCGGATGATTGACTTTTGGATAATCAACGCTCTAATGTATTTTAAAATCTAAGGGACTCGTACAACATGGAATTCATATAAAATGGAATTATCAACAGTGTTTTGGGGGTCGACTGTAAATGATGATTCATCAGACCAGATGACCTGTTCCCATTGCTGCTGTGTTCAGTTTCGGTGGTTTTGGCACCATTGTCGTCGCTTCATAGCATTCTGTGGTGACACTAACGGCTTTAGGATGGCTACTCAGCCATGAATGCTCACAGCATGCAGCTCTCGTTGAATAGTTTTGGTGGATACTGTGTTCTGGAGATGGGTGTTCATCTCAGAGGTTATCTGCTGCAGTGTGGTCTTATGTTTTTGGGTGACTAGCCTCTTCAATGCTCGTCTATCTTGGTCAGTCAACTTTGACTTTCATGCACTGTTCTGCTTCGCAGAAGACACCTTTCCCAGTTTTGTGTAGGCTGTCATAACCCTTGACACAGTGGACCTTGAAACACCCATAAGGTTGGCTGTTCTAGACACGGACACTCCAGCAAGGCGAGCTCCAATAATCATACCTCTTTGCATGTTGGACAGGTTGGACATAATGGTGCTTTGCTGGGAACAGAATTTTCTCATGCAACTGTCACACTGCCAAATGCTCGACTGATACCTTCCCTTTCACCACCACTGGATGGCAGACTGTTGTGACACGTGATGGGGTTGTATTGGATGGTCAAAGTACAACACCTTTCGAAAGGGGTGTTCCTATTATTTTGTCCTATACCAGTACATGTCATAAAAGCCTTATCTGTAATAGGGTGTAGCCCTACATAAAGACAAAAAAATGATGAATAGGACCTTGTGCTTGCAGGAGTATTGAACATTTGGTAATATATTTAAGTAGTTAAATCATTAAATTAGTAGTTATTGAAAATATAATTGTAGTGGTATCTGTTTCATCTGTAGAACAATCATTTTCTAAATTAAAATTGATCAAGAACTACTACTAATCAACAATATGTCAAGGGATTTTCTTCTCTTTTGATCTTGTCCACTGAAAGAGAGAATGATGCAGAAGAGGACTTTTCTTTTATAATTAATGAACTTGATAAAAGCATGAAAGCAGTTTTGTAGGTGAATTTCTGTACACCTATTGAATTTTCCAGTTTGTTGTAAATCTATTTTACACATTTTTATTACTTTATTGTGTGTTCTACTATCTATTTTCTACAAAAATAAATTTTTCTAAGACCTTCCAAATCCTAGAGCTGCCTCTGTGTAAAGCACCAAGAAAAAAAAAATTGTTAATGTTTGACCATTTTCATACATACTCATTGCTTTAATTTTTCTGATTCAAATCAATCACATTATTATAAACTTGTAAAGAAAGTATCTTTTATAATTATACCAAAAATGTATGTAGTCTAGGCTTATGGAATTTGGGGATTATTTATGTATTAGAATTCAAGAATACTGTATTTTTACTATGTTTCTTTGTTTTTAAAAATATATTTTAAGATATTTTGCTGCAAATAATAAGTTTATATGAATATAATAACACAATTCCTTATTTCAATTGCTTTTTACAATTAAATTTCTGAGCCGTTTTATAGATTATCATAAATAGTTAATAATTTTTAATACTTATTTTCATTTGAAAATATTTGATTACAAATAGAAAATGAATTTAAATTAAAATACTATATTCTATTTAAAAGTGTGTGTACATATTAAAAGCAAAGCATTTTCATCAGTTTGATTCTTCAAAATTATTTTTACTCTTTAATTTTAGATAATTTAGCCTTCTGTTCTATTCACATTAAATTTATTATCTTAATTTCTAGATATCCTGTGATATTGTCATTAGAAAATCATTGTAGTGTTCAACAACAAAAGAAAATGGCAGAACATCTTGTAAATATATTAGGTGGTAAGTAAAAATGTAATTATTTTTAATGTTTAAATCAATGAATCATAATATAATTTGAAAATAATTTATATTGTTTATTAATTCAAATAATTATCAGAATTTTAATTTTACGAGATTAACAATATATGATTATGCTTAACAATATTCAAAACTATGCAAAAAAAATTTATTTCCATTAGCATGTAATTCAAAATCGTAAATTATGTTACATAGAATTATATATAGATCATTGCAATTTATTGTATCTTGCTAAAAATTGAAAATTTAATTATTTTAATTGTGATGAACAGTCAAAAGAACTGATGGAAAAAATACAAGACACTAGTAATTGCATATTAATGTGGACTTTTAGGAATTCTGTTAAATTTTATTGACAGATAATCTGATAAAATTATTACCAATTAATTTTTATTCATAAATAATAGTAATTTATACTATGGTAATTCATTTATCCAAAAATAATTTTTCATGTTCTAAGTTTTCTGCAATAGTTTAGTTTTGTTTTTTAAATTTTTGAAAAATTAAACTTTTTAGGTTGGAATGAATAAGTTTTTTTATTCAGTGAGTGATCTGTATTTAGATTAAGAAACTTGTCATGATCTATATGGAGTAATGAATCTACATTATGCTACTAGAGTTTTTTGGTTATGATTATTAAAGAATGTAATAATGATTTAATTAGATCTTAATACAATTATTAAACAAAATCAAGTTAAATTCTATTATGTTAAGACATAAGACGATGATGTATAATTTGGTTGGTGCTCGCCAACTGAATGCTTTCAATATTCATTTCGGTTGGCGCTGACTGACACTTTTCATATACCGTATAGAAAAATCATTATAAAAGTTTTAATTTGCATAAATTTGAACTTTTGTAATTCTGACTAACATTTTGAATAAAATTCATTTGTTTCCATGCATTTTTATCTTTACGTATAAAATTAAGCTATAAAACTGAATTAGCTCTACGGGGGAACCCTGGTGAACTTTGACCTATCAACCTGGAAGTTTCGCAAGCATTTCATTGATGAGAAAGGCTTAAGTTTTTAAAATTTGAGCTTTTTAGACCCAGTGATGTTTTCTCTGAGCATCTGCAGTGCTGGATGAAGAAAAAGGAGAAGAAACTGCAGCTTTTTTGGCAATCTTTGCACTTTTCAATTGCTTATATTTTGGCAACCACATTACAAAAAAATCGTGAAATTTTGCACACTACCTAAGGAAACAATTTTCTTTTGAATGAGAAATTCAGAATTACTTTGGGCATTTGAGGAGTTGAGAAATTGACACCCAAAAATTGGTAACTCTGATTCCTGTAGACCTTTTTAGTTGGCAGGGAGTCAATGCTGTGACTCCTGAAATGCTAGTGAAGATTTCAATAGATTCAGTATTATTAGTATTATTATTTTATTTTCATAGCTATTAGATGAATTTATATTTCTTTGTTGTTGTTATGTTTCTTATATTCTAGATCTATTATAATTTACATGTTAAAATAACAGAACTCATTACAATTCAATTCTGTTTCACATTCTAATGGATATCAATTCTAAGCTTGGTCATTGAAGCTGAAAATAATCATGAAGATGATTAAATGCAAACATTTGGATCTTTGTATCCTCCCTATCTCATATTTATTACTTTTTTAACTATATTAATTTTCTGTATTAAATAATTAAAATTTTAAAACTTTTTGTTATTGTTTCACAACAAATGTAACTTTTATGTAAAATAGTATTTATCTATATCTATACTAATATTATAAAGAGGTAATGTTTGTAAGTAAGTTTGGATGTAGCGGGTAATCTCCGAAACTACTCATCAGATTTCAAAAATTCTTTCACCAATATTTAGAATGGAACTTCGGGTGGACATAAGCTGTATATTATTCTGTTAAACATTCATATAAATTAAAAGATATAATCTAGGTTAAGGCTTTTATGTCCAAACAGATGGCACTATGATTATGTCAACAGATGGTACTATGATTACGATGCCCTAAGTTTGCTTTTCTGTGAAAATGAACTAAAGCAGATCATCTATCTATCTATATATTGATAGATAAAAATGTAATGTTCGTTTGTTCCTACTGATTCCTTTGAAATTTTGACACAACACTGCATTCAAATAAGCACGTGTTTTTATATAATATACATGTCGAAATTCCCCCCACTGAAGAGAAATGGTTAGGATTAAGGCTTACCATAAATAACTCTGCTTCTATTTATACTATTTTAGATGTGGGATTTTGCGTTTTTGATTGTGTTTTAATAGGGTACGTCAACAGAATGTACACTAAGAAGGGATTTTTCGAAAAATTTCTCCCCACGGGGGAAGTGTTATACATTTATAATAGATACATTTTGAGCCACAACAACGCATGGCGGGGTCTGCTAGTCTTTTTAATAATTTTGTAATTCTAAAAAGTAGAAAAGTTTTTATTTAACATTAGTTTTCTTTCAATGTGATTTATATGTGAAATAATGGTGTTTATTATTTCATTTTCACATTACAGAAAAATGAAAAATCAATTTGTAAAATTTCCTGAAAACTTGAATTCCTGATTTGATTTTAATTTGTCCTCCTAACCAAATTAAAATCCAAATTGACTTAGATTGTAAACTATTCATTACTACTTGTAAAATAAGTCCATGCTAATTAGACCAGATTAGGTCTTTGAACTAATTATGATTGTTTAGCTTCATATTAATCTACCCTCTCATAAGTATTCCTTCTCATTAGTCTTATCTTGATTTGGCAACCTTAGTTTATAATTTTATTTTTACAACTAATTATGTTAGCTTATAATAATAAATGATGCTTTTAGCCCATGACTATAAATTAGATAGTTAGATAACCTAATAAGTAGGATTTAACAATTTGGAGGGATTATCACACCAATGCTGACAGAAAGAAATACCAGAACTTTTACAAAAAAGTTAGTCTTTAATAATCACATTTCAAATTTAGGTAAGGATGCATTTCATGTACAAGGACCCCTCATCAGCTTACAAACACATGGCAACAACATAACAATTACAACATCACTAGTTAACCAATACAAAGGAATATCTAATATATACAGTGCACTGTATTCACAATTTTTAATGTAATCCATATACTAAAAAACAAACTATCTAGCATAGTATTTTAATACAATGACAATGTGATATATCATATTATTTGGGACCTGTAAATGTCTTTTCTCCAACATTTTCCAAATTCTGGTAGGCAGTTCCATATTATTAAAATGATTGGTTTCCAGGCATTAAACAAAACAGTTACATCTGATCCATAAGGCTGTGTGAAGACAACTGCCTTGTTACAATTCATTTTACAATTCCTAATTGTTGGAATTGTAAAATGTCCTAATTGTTTATTTACAGTAGTTTAAAAATGAGATTTTAGAAAAACTTTCTAAATTGTTTGTTTCAATGATAAATTTGAGCTCTAAGTATCTTTGTTCTAAATTAGTTGTGTATTTACATAGTTCTGAATATAGCATACTTTTAATTTATCAGATAATTTGGAGAAACACAAACATATATCTTTCTAAAAAATATTTTTCTTCAGAAATTGCATTTTATAAATGTCAAATATAATAAATGTAAGACTATATTTTAATAAAAAGTTACTGAACTTAAATAGTTTTCTTTTTTAAATTACAAGTTATAGAAAAAATAATTTATTATATACTATTTTAAATAAAAGGTAAATTTTTTGTTTTTATAGATTATTTGTATTCAGCTCCTGTGAAACCTGAGGAACAAGAACTGCCATCACCAGAATCTTTGGCTCGAAAGGTTTTAATAAAGGTAATTGCACTCTTTGCTTGGCTTATGAGAATAGCACATTTCCAAAACATTAAAATTTTGCTTAAAGTATCATCAAAATCCCATTTGAAATAAACACAATTATTTCATTAGTAGTGGCTTGCCCCTGTACATCATACTTTTCCTTTAACAAAAGTCATGCCAGTTATCTATCTAACACCTTTCATGGGAAAGTTTTTGAATTGAAATAACATGACTTTTGGTTTGAATCAGAAGTTCATATATAGTTAATCGGGGCCTCCTGCCCCTACAGTTTCTGTATCTGGTCTCAGATTTTATCTAATTAACTCAGTTCTTGAGATTAAGGAAACAGAGAAGGTGGACAGATGACAGTGGGAATTTATAGGTCTACAATTTTTTTCAAATTACAGCCCAATAATTATTATTTAATTTAAAAGAAAATATTACATAAAAACAAGGAATCAATTAAATCATAAGATAAATTTGTACATTACCATCAAAAATAAAATAATTTAACTCGTTTCAAGTTACCTTCATTTGAAATTTTGTTATTAAATTAAAAAGAATAAATGATGAGAGATACATTCTATCCCACAAACTAAGTGTTATAAATTCAATTGTTATAACACTTTGAATTTATCTGTGTTCAAAGTGCTAACAATTGAAAGATGCCATTCTGTTCTTGATGATGATGATAAATATTACATAATTATGAAATTGGTTTTTTATGGTTTACATGCAATACACCATCCTAAATGAGGGCTACAGTGAAGACATATCTAGGGAGTAAAAAACTGATCTTTTTTGCAAACGTTTCCATCCTTTTCCTCCATCCTTCTCAGATCCCAAAGTCTGTCTCCTTCTTTTTTCACACAATCTTTCTTTCTTACCTCAGGATAGTTTTGGACAACAGTGGTCATGCCTTCTCTGTTCAAAAATTTTTTTAACTGGGAGAATAAAGACCCCTGACTCAAACAGATTTAGTATCCTGTACACATTTTACCTGATCTGAATATGGTGCAACTTCTTAGAGTTGCAACAATGTACAATGCATTCAACTATTTGAGACAATGCAATTTTTGATATAATATCAATTCAGAGAAGTTTTACTTTAGTTTCTATTATGAAGGTTGCTTATGACTATATTTGCATGTAGCCATGATAAACCAGTCAATGATTATTTAGTATTTCATTTGTGATGTTGATTGAAAACGAAATGAAAAGAAACATGACTGTTTCTAAAGAAAAAACATATTGTTAATAAAAAAATGGACATTCCAGAAGATAATTCACTTAAATCTATAGAAATCTATTAAAATTGTCATGAAGCTTTTTTATGATTGATATTATATTCATTTAGTGTGTTATCCTATGAAACATGACATTGCATAATTGCATAACCATTATGTCACCAATACTGTAATAAACTTGGCTTTTGCTTTGTGTTTGGCTAAATTAATATAAGCAGTGCAGTGTATATGTATATATAAGGAAAAAATCTGTCAGCAAATGGCAAACATTCTCCCAGAGAGTGGCAGTTGAACTGTGTATCTTGAAAATGTTTCAGCTGCCCTGCTTATATTAATTTAGCCAAATACAAAGCAAAACCCAAGTTTGTTAATGTGTGTGTGTGTATATATATATATATATATATACACACATTAACACATTTTACATATACATATACAGTAGAGCATCAATTNATATATGTTAATGTGTGTATATATATATATATATATATACACACATTAACACATTTTACATATACATATACAGTAGAGCATCAATTATCCAAAACAATTTGGGAATGGGGTTGTTTGGATAACTGATCATGTATGAAAAAATATATTAACTAGTGCATGTTGAAATTTTTCTCCGTTGCATGTTGCTTCACATTGAATTTTCGTCAATGTTAAGCCTAACAAATATTTTTTTAAAAATAATAATCACAGCTATTGTATCGTTAAAAATTATTTCTTTATTTTGCACAAACAAAATAAATATGTTGAAAAATATATTTTTAAAAAATTATATTTCGTAAGTTAATCTAGTATCAAAAATGTTCCAATTCAGCACAACACGTCTCAACAACAGTCCTCAGAAAAACACCATACAAAACAAGCAAAACTTTCTTTTTCTGGGTTTATCTGGAGATGTCAGCATGCAAAATAAAGAAATGGATATATTAATCTTTAATCATCATTACTTCACAACTAATCTTCTGATAGTGAATAGGTCAATATTTTTGGATGTAAATTTGTTTGTGCCTATCAGTTGTTGGATTAAGTATTTGTAGCTGTTGTCCCATATGAAGTTGTCTTATGTGGCATTTTTTCCAGACAACAAGAGAAAATTTTATGAGAATACAAAATCTAAAATCAGATTTAAAACCACTGAGGCTTTGAAATCAACCATCTTCCTTCTCCCTAGTAGTTTAGATTTTGGAAACACTTGATTAGAAAAATCTCTAGCTTAACACTTATTTTTCTACATTTAAATCATCTAATTCTGTCATTAATAAAATTTCTAGGTATCTGTCCTCTCAAATCTATTGTTTTCCATTTTAGACTCATTGGGCTGAAATTTGAAAAAATTGTAGACCTATAAATTCCCACTGTAGTCCATCTGTCTTTCAAGAACAGAGTTAGATAGATGAAATCAAAGACCAGATACGGCAGAAGTTATTAACTGTTTACTAACTTCTAATTCAAATCAGAAGTCACATTATTTCAATTTAAAACTTCTCCCAAAAGCAGTTAATAGATGACTGGCATGACTATTGATACAGGAAAAGTATGATGTACAGAGGCAAAACACTATAGTACTAATTTGAGGTGGGGACCATTTATTTTAAATTAAATAAATTAAAAATATGATTTAAAACTTGCAGTCTGGCATTGTGACGATGTCACAATAAATAATTGCTTGTTCATTTCTCTCTTAGGGCAGTCAAACAGATGTTTGAATCATCTGGAGTGGTTTCCATTTTTACAATCATAATTATGGTGAATCAAATGATTACAGGCATCTCAAATTGTTCTTTGCATCAAGCTATCATAATTTCCTTGCATATGCCAGGAGCTGACGTTAACATGTTTTTCTTCAATGAAGAGATCAAGCCAGAAATAAATATTTTTGATAAGATAAACATTCTCTCGCTAAAGGATACTCTCTGGTAGATTTCCTTTTTATTTTTAAGTCACAAATGGCTACATTTTGACTTTGAGAGACTGATATGGTTAAAAGAAAAAAAAATCCATTAGATCATTTTATCTTTGTTGAACATTGTTTATTCTTGATATATGAAAGTCAATTTGAGGTAATTGTTGAACATTTCCAAATGGCTCCTCTTTCAATTTATCTTGAGTGACTTAACTTTACTGGGTCCTTCCATTGGGCCAATTTTGCTACATCCTTAAGTATTCTAAAGAAGCTGTGTACATTAAGAATATTATTGGGAGAATTTGAAGAAGTAGAAACCATAATATTTAGAAATCCTGTTACAATGGGACGAAGCAAATCATTATATTTACTACACCAACATATAGTTTCCACTTTTTAGAAAGAGTTGCATTTTAAGGTGTTATGGATTTCCATTAATTAGTTCATTTGTTGTATTAAATTTACAAGACTTATTTCAATTTTCTAATTTCAGAATAAAAAGTTAGATGCAACCAGTGCCAAACCTGTTGATTCAGATTCTGATGATGAAGATCTTCCTCCTACTGATACACCCAGACAAGAAAAGGTAAATTTCCTAAATAATTTATTTAATATTAATATACTTACTATCAAGGTCATTTTAAGTATTTTTTTGAGATTATCCAATTTCTTAAGAGGCCCTTATATAATAATAGATATTTTACAGTTGTTATGCCGGATTACTGTTGTTGGGTTGCAATTTGAAAACTGCAGCCTGTATGTTTTCACTGTCTAACTCCATTCTTGAGATTAATGAAGGACAGATAGATGATTGCCATGACTCAATTGTTATCAGGAGAAGTATGATAACAGGGGAAAGGTGCCACTAAAAATCCAGATCAGATATGGAAAGCTTGGGTCAGTGACTTGATTAACTGTGTGAAAATTTTTTAAAATAATTAAAAATTGCAGGCCAGCATTGTGACGATGTCTCAAATTGTTCGTTTTGGAAGAGTAATGATGTTTGAAGACAAATGAGAAAATTGATATAAGAACACTGTGAAACTGATTTAATACAAAATATCTTATCTGAAAATTTTAAAATATTTAAGCATTTTTACTATGTCTGAGATCAGAAAAGAGAGTAAGCAGCCTTAGGGTCCCTATCTGTCCCTGTATACATTATATCTCATGTTTATTGTTTATCCACTCTGTTGATAATTCTGAATTTTATTTTACTAGTCAAAAACTACTTTCTATTTGAAGTGAAACAGATCACAAAATTAATTTAATGTAATTTTCAGCCAAAAGAAGATGGCAAATTAGCAGCTGAATTATCAGATCTAGTCAATTATGTTAAAGCTACTTCATTTAAAGGATTTGAGAAAACAAAAACATGTAAGTATTCCATTTCAGAATAAAATATTGAAATATTTTTAGCATGTAAAGTATATTGTAATATGTATTGTATTATAGTCTATAATCTTTTTAACCCATATATCAATTTGTTTCACTTATAGTTTAGTTTTCTAAAATCTATTGTATTAGCATTGTACTTTAAAAATAACTCACTCAATTGAATAATATGAAATCTCATTCAAACATAAAGGAAAAGTCACTAAGAGCATCTTTAGATTACATAAAAAATTCATAGAAATATGAAGTGTAATTAAAAACTTTCATATGCCAAATGCAAAACCAATATATATATATCTATTTATTATGTTGTTCAACTACAAATGTTTTGTTTATGTAAAAACTTAAGCATTTCCTGATTATGTGACGTGTTTAGTATTGCAGCCTTCTATAATATGATGTATGTGTGCTACTGTTGCCCTAATGTTTCTAGACTTGTGTTTTGTATATGGTATTATTCATTATTATTAAATTATAATGATTTTTAATATTTCTTAAAACCTTTTTTTCAATAATAGTGATTAAGTATTTAATATTTTTCCACCAAAGGGAAGTTTTATGAAATGTCATCATTTCAAGAAGTGAAAGCAGAAAGATTGGTTAATGAAAATGGAGAAGACTATGTGAAATATAACAGACATCATTTATCAAGAATATATCCAAAAGGTACTAGAACAGATTCTAGTAATTATGATCCTGTGCAGTTCTGGAATGTTGGTTGTCAAATTGGTGAGTAAAATTTGTTATGGTATAAGTTATTGTATGTGTAAGAAACCTTAAAGTATACTAATTTTAATTTTGGAATTTTATCGTATTTTACCACAAAAATGGAAAAGAGGTGGTCAAACATAACCGATATCATGATTTTTAGACATATAGGGTTTAATGTAACTCCATGCCAATATTTTAGGGATAGATTCTAAGATCAAAAATAAACTTAAACCTTCTGTTTTTAAAGCCAATTTTTATTTTAAATGTTGAAAACTGTGTTACTAACTCATACAAACTGAAATAGAAGTGGGTACAACACACTGGTAACAAACAGGTCTGGTAACAAACAGTGGGTACCACTGTTTGTTAGCAGACCCATTTGAAGGAGGTTGAAATTGATTTCAGAAAATTTTTTGGCAGGACAGTTCTCAAACAGTGAAATTTGAAAAACGTTTTAGTTTTTAGAGTATTTTAAGCTTATTTTTGATCCTAGTGTGAGAGCTGGCATTTGGCAAACTTTTTTTTTTCTTCTATAAACTGTTTTCACGTTAAGTATTAATTTTTTTAAAAAAACGAAACTCATGGGAAGAAAGTTCTATTTTTTTTTTTCCCAACACTTATGATCATATCCTTCCAGTTTTTTATCATCTTTCTCCAGATTCACTTCCTTTCAAAGGTGACACATCTTCCTAATGTGTCACCCAGAACCAACGATCGAAATTCAACTATTGGCCCCGACATATAATAAATCCTAATAAGGTCATGGGAAATATCCATGAAGGATCCTCCTCATAAAAAGGAGGGGGTCAATGACAATCTGAGTTTGCTGTCATCGATAGTTCTGTAAACTGATATGCTCGCTGATCTCTTTAAATACTGCTCAAGCCATCGCCCATCCTTTGCCCTTCTCAAGACATCAAAAGACTTCCATCCTTTCAATTCATAAAAGCTTCTTCTGAATCTTGCAGACTAGGAGTACATTGATCCACTGATTCTGCGATTCCAAAGAGGGACCAACTTCAGTTAACTAAGGTATTTATTGATGCATGAACGATTGTAAACTCTCTCTCATGGTCAAGGTTGCGATATTACTGATAAGGTTATACCTTTTTCCCTATATTGTGTTATAAAATTAGCAGATAAGCAGTGTCTTAAATAACTTTGTACAGATTTGTAAATAGTATAGATAAATAAACGGGTATTTTTATATGATAAATTTGTTGGAGTGCACTTCTTCTGGTTGTCTCAATCCATGTCCATTCTGAGTCCAAACACCTACCTATGCAACCACTCGTGCATGAATGTAATTACTAATGCCCATTGCAATTTCCGTGTCTGTTAAGACACTGTGGTGTCAGTTCTAATGTGGCATCAAATCAAGAGGTGCCGACCCTGTGGTAACACTAGAATCTATCCCTCAATTATTGAAATGGAGTTTCATTGCACCCTGTACATTGAATTTAATTTCTAGCATTATTATTAAGTACTTGAATTAAGAATTTGTTTAATGATCTTAAATAAAATGAATTCTTACTTTATATTATATTTAATTTTAAGTGTTTTTTGCAGTTGCTCTAAATTATCAGACCTATGATGAACCAATGTTCTTTAACCAAGCATTATTTGTTCAGAATGGTGGATGTGGTTATGTTTTGAAACCAGAATTTTTATGTAAAGGTTAGTGTATTATTACATTTAGATATTCCTATCATTCATATTATTCACCGTGCTGAAAAAATTTTGTTTTTTCTTTATTATAGATATAGAATATAATCCTTCTGATCCTCCTAAAGAAACATACAAAGAGATTTTGACTATTAAGGTAAGTAATTTTAAGAAAAATTAATTTTAACTTATCTTTAGAAATACAGAAATCTATTTCACTGATGACATATAATACCTTTCTTAATTGTTATAAAATTGTGAGAGAATGCCAGAAAGTTTTTTTTTTATTCTTATGAAAGTGAGGCCTTTATCAGTGTTGTTGGTATTAAAGAATACTTTGCTTCTACCATCAGTTGGAGTATTCTTTTCCCAAGCTGGATATGTGTCAGTTGAAATGCATTCTATATGGTTGCCAGTTTAGCAATGGCAATCATACTGAATGCATTTCTTCTTTTATCAATACAAAGAAGCACCTTCAAGACTTGCTGTTATATTCTAGTCTGATGTCAATAAGTTGTCAAATATTGGTTACTTCAGGATGTATCCTTTTATTATCAAAATTTCAATTCCTTGATCCATTACCTTAACAGTTAAAATTTGTGTGTGAGGGGTCCTATATAGCTGTCCCAAATTACTATATTGTAGGTTTATATTTAAAATAAAAAGGAACATAAAAAGCAAAGAAATAATGAAAATATCACTTACTAAAACCAATAACCAGTATTAAATAATCGTAAAATGTACTGCGAACGTTTTCGGTTCTTTCCCTAGGACCTTTCTCAAGCAGCGATTCGTCTTTAGAATAACTATGAACGAATACATTCGCAGTACATTTTACGATTATTTAATACCGGTTATTGGTTTTAGTAAGTGATATTTTTATATTAATCCGGTATTTGAAGATTCTTTATCTAAAGAAATAATGTTTAACAAAACAGTATATTATGTTCATTTTATGTTTCATGCTAGCACACTTTTCTCAAAGACTGATTTATTACACTAGATTAAACACAGAATAAAATGACCTTGACACATGTAATTTTCTTCTATGTATTTTGGACATAACAGATCCTTCTTCAGTCTTAATACATATATTTTTTGTTTTTTTAGGCATATGCATACATGTTGTTAAATAAAAACTTCTCAACATATACATGACAGAAATCCACCAAAATGTCTATATGAGTATATTTTAACCAGGGGACAAATAAAATTTATACTATTCAATACAAACTCCAGAAAATTGATGAAACCATGTTAGTAAATTGTGATAATATAAAATATCATCATACATATCTGCATTGTCTATTGTCCTTGGGGTTTGTATCCCTCTGGCTCACAAATAAGTGTTAGGGAGAAGAAGAAGAACAAATTATCAGTTAGGAGGCTCTCTCCAGATTCATGTATTTGTAAACCAGGATCTATTATCTTAAACAAATGCTTGTGCATATCCTTTAATCTCATTCTTCATTACAAACTCCAATTATCTTACTAATAGTTTAATAGCATGCTAAAATTTGAAATGATTGGATCTCTCAAATTTTCCCAAATGCCACTGAAACATTGAAAAATATTACTGCATCAAAGTAATTGAGGATGTTTCCCAATATCCAAAGTTCCAATATTCAAATTGTTTTCAGAAATGCTTACATTCAGATAAGAGTGTGGTTATATTGGCTGCAAATAGTGGAAATTTATAGGTCTAAAATTTTTTCAATCATCTCCCCATCTGTCTTTCCTTAATCTTGAGAACAGAGTTAGATTTCCGACCCTGCATTGCTATATGATTCAGTCATCGGGATGCATCCTACCCCTCTTAGAAGTTCTGAAATGTTTAACTGAGACACCCTTTATTACAAAAATATTTAAATGCTAATGTTTATAATGACATGAGAATAGTGTAAAGTATGTTCTAAAGGAACTAGAACAAAAGTTTTTAAATCCAAAATTAGAACTGTTAAATATTACACACAATTCATAACCAGGTGGATTTAATTTATCCACCTGGTTATTTCTGTATGAAAGATGATACTAGATATGAAAACCTTAGGAGCAGGTGACCCCAAATTTACTATATACAAACATCTGATGCAAACCAGAAGTTGTGTTATTTTAATTCAAAAATTTTCCCCTGAAAAGTGTGATAAACAACCAGCAAAACTCTCTTGTTAAAGGAAAAGTATGATGTACAGGGGCAATTCACTACTAATTTGAGGCAGAGAGAATATATATTAAAAAATTAAAAATATGATTAAAAATTGCAGCCTGACATTGTTATGATGTCACAATAAATAATTACTCATTTACTTTTATTTAAACTCTATTAAAGTATATTAATAATATACCAAAAATGTATTTTTAAAAATAAACAAATCAGAATTATTAGTTTTAACAATTGAAGTTAATGATCATTTTGATCCTTGTGAATCAAAATGGATCTCAAATTAAATTATGGTGATTAAAATTAATTAATTATAAAATTTAGAGACAAGTTTCATTCAAATCTTTTATAACATCTAGTAAACTAGTTAATTAATTGTTAAAGCATCAGGGATACAAGAAAAACATCATGTGTGTATTTGTGTTTTCAAATTTGAACAATTAAAATTATGATACTAGTTCAAACACTTTTTAATATAGTTTTTTGCAATATGATGTGTTATCTATTTGTACAGTACAACTATTATTTGTCATCAATCATATCACAAAAGATAAAAAATTATAATTAACGATACACTTGATTCATTTTAAATCATTATAACTTTTAGCCATTATTTCAATTTTTAAGTTGCTAAATTATATTAATATCTTTTTATACTTTACATTCATTATCCGTTGATTAAATCACATTTCTATATTAAACAGGTTATAAGTGGTCAGCACATTCCAAAGCCAGATGAAGACTATGAAGGAGAAGTCATTGATCCCTATGTAACAGTTGAAATTAGAGGTCATCCTTGTGATGAATCAAAGCAGAGCACAAATTATGTTCACAATAATGGTAAAATTTTAATTTCCAATTTTAGAGTACTAGTAAACTTTAGAGACCAAATAAATTTGATTAATGCAGTAAGATTTTAATGGAATCATGATGATTGTATTAATTCTTTTTTACAATAAAATATAGAAATGAATATATCAATATATGACAATTTTCCTTTAATCATCATAAAGGAAAATGTCAGATGGATGAAAAATTAATTTATACATCTTTTTTTCTGTCAAATAACTTCCGTTCACCCATATAAAATCAAATTCAGAAGGATTTTAAATATTGTGCCTTGCAATGTTTCTTAGAATATTTTTTTGTACATGCTCATGGAACAAAAAGCAGGAAGCATTAATGAGGTACAAAAGGTTTATGTAACTCTGAATAACCCTACTGCATTAAATCCGGTATCCAGGTATGATATCTCTTGGCTTCAGAGACCACCCAACAATACCCTGTGGGTATTTGCCTCTAGGTTTTTGAGAAGGATTGCATTTATGTGATGAAACCAAACACTATTCAGGGGCTTATGGACAGAATTGTGGCAACTGTGCATCTTTTACACTAGAAATTTTGAAAGTCTTTGAGGATACAAAGCCCCACTAGTATGTGCATTGACATTTGGGAAATATATAATTTAATATGCAAGAATTTCAGCTTTTTTTAAAATAAAATAGGCAATTATGGCCCCTTGTTCTTTTTATAATAGTTATTTAAAAGTAATATTATATATGTTTAGATAAATATCTATTATATTGTATACAGTTTATTTCATTGACTTAAAAAAAAAAACTGTAAATTTCACTAAAATTCATTTTTCAGGTTTTAATCCAAGATGGAACGAAACCTTCACATTTCAAATTTGTTTACCTGCACTTGCCATAATTGTATTTAGAGTAAAAGATGAGTGCAAAACAGGAGTCAATGTGACACTTGGTGAATATGCAATTCCATACACAGCGATGGCTGAAGGTAAGTAATATTTAGAAGCTTAAAACCTTTTAATATTTTCCAGACATATACACACACTCTCTCATTCACACATATATTACAAAAATATTTAAATGCTAATGTTTATAATGGCATGAGAATAGTGTAAAGTATGTTCTAAAGCAGTGGTCCCCAACGTTTTTATTGCCGCGGACCGGTCAATGTTTGATAACTTTACTGCGGCCCACTGGGGGGACGTTGATTGATTTAATTTAATAATTTTAATTTAACTGTATTTAAATATGCCTTCAAAATAAAATACAGTTACACCAAAAAATGAATATAATGTAATTTAACATTTTAACTCACTAGAACGCTAAATCAATGAGAACCCTGAGCTTGTTTCTTTGCAACAAGACAGTTCCATCTGGGGATAACAGAAGACAATGACACCCAAAGTATGTTTCTTATGTCCAGTTTATTCCGTTGTTCCATCGTCCATTAAAAGTCGCACAAACCCGAGACAAATACACCATAGTAAATAAAATGGAAATAATTTAATGTTCCTTGGGCGGCCCGGTACCATTTGATCCACGGACCGGTACTGGTCCGCAGCCCGGGGGTTGGAGACCACTGTTCTAAAGGAACTAGAACAAGGGTTTTTAAATCCAAAATTAGAACTGTTAAATATTACACACAATTCATGATTTAATTTGTTCACCTGGTTATTTCTATAGAAATTGCAACATAATTGAGTAAATTAATCTTCTAATAACAAGGCAGAAATAGATTGAAAATAAAACTTACCAACCTCTGCTATGTTGTTGATTTTCACTGATAAATACCTTCCAGTAAAACAACTGGAAATGAAAAATACTTTTAAAAGGAAAACTTTCTTAAAGAAAATTATTACAAATGAAACTCTGGAGAAAATTAAACAGAAAAAAATCTCTATTTAGAGAATTAAAAAAGAAGCTACCTTCCAAACAACAAAATAACATACTATCAGATATAAAAAATCTTTCTAAAGAAATAAGAACCAACATTTGTGCTGAAGAATCAAATTATTATAGTAACCTTTCCTGTAACGCTAACTTGTCGGCAGAATTTTGTAAAATATAAGAAAATTGCCCTTGAATATAACTAACAGAAAGATGACACCAAAATATATTTCCTTTGATGAGCAATGATTTTTATTAGATGATGATCAGATTATAACTGAAACTTTTGTGAAATACTTCAACTGCACATGGGACAAGGAATCAACAATAAGACCAAATCAATCTCCACAGCTACGAGAATTCTTGTCTTGGAGGCCACTGCTGCAAAAGGAAGTCTAATACAATTATGAATTTAAAGACTAGCACACCTGATATAATCAATTCAATTGCTATACCTTTATCCTTCCTGATAATTAAATCTTTTGAAAAAGGAAAATTTCTGAACAAACTAAATTATAGTGTGGTCATACTAATATACAAAAAATAAAAGATCTAAAAGTGGCATTGAAAACTATCAACCAATCATTATCATTCCTGTGTTGGTAAAAATCAGAGAGAATCTTCCACAGAAACCTCTAGAAATATATATAATTACTTTAAATGTAATTCATCAACACCAATGTGCCTACAAACAAAACTTCTCTACAACAGATGCAATACTACATTTTAAACAGGAAGTCAAGGATAAATTAGATAATCTTTTAGTTGTAGCACTATTTTTAGATTTATCCAAAACTTTTGACCGTGTGGACCTCTGGATCCTTGAAAGAAAACTTTAATAAATATGACACTATCCATTGTAAAGGTGCTCCTCTTAGACCAATATTAAACTGTAAATATCATATAAAAGTCGACAATGTATGCTCAATGGTTTATACTGTTGTTTTTCAATATTTACACGAACGACCTATTTGAAGCTAACACCAACATTAATATCATTGGAGTGTATCAGAACAATGCCATCTGCATATGCAATGATAATCTCCAGGCAGCACAACATGAATTGAATAACATTCTTTCCAGATTTAACATATTTGAACTTATAAAGTAGAATAAAACAAAATGACTATAACTATCTCGGTTTTGTGAATAAAAATGTTGATAAGGAACAAATTCAAATAGAAATAAATGAAAGACATCTATCAGTATTCTGTCATCTTAGACAAGGTTGTCTATGTGTCAGTCATACCTAAGTTCACAGGAATAATAAGGAAAATTCAGGCCCTTTTTAATGTCTATATCACACATGCATTAAACTGAAAATCCAGTATGGTATTATCTGGGGAACTGTGACAGATTATATTGTAAAGGTTCTTGGTCCCCTGACTACCTACAAGTCGAAATAAAATACAAAAGGGCAACACTGTTTCTACAAACAGGCACAAGTGCGAGATTTGCTTATGCATTGCTTGTTGGGAATTTCGAAATGCAAGTGTTGCAAAATCAAATTTTGACAAACGTGTGACACATGCTACACATGTATGCTCTTGCTCTTGTTGTTTTGTCATCCTGTGAAATGACGAGATCATCATCAGGACAATTTGGGTACTAATATCTTCCTACTTACCATAGCCGAGGTCAGGCCCATGACAATGCAATCTGTCGTAACCACAGCAGCAATGAAGCCTGCCGTAATCTACACCAGGATCCCAAGTATCAATGTCGGCTTTTCCTCTTTGGTTAGTGCTTATTTTTCTTTTTTCCTTGAGGCTTGATTGTGCACCATTTTCTAAGTCTCCGAGACATAGTCTCGTCCCAAAGATGGCCTTGCTGTTTTACTTGTTTAGTTTATAAATTTATAAAGATTAAAATGAACAACTGTCATCATGATGATATAATGGAAAAATACTGCAGCCATTGAAGAAACTATAACTACTTAACACACTATAAAACTTTCTATAGGACAGTCTGCTCTAGCAAATTCCAATATTTTATCTGAAAAACCAAACAAAAGAAGCTCAAAACAACAATAAAGAAAAATCCTCTCAATCAAATTTTTATAAAGATGAAAGCAAAAATCAAATGAAATTGAAGCATTCATGTTATAAATGATAATTTTTTTGAAAAACAAAACTCACAAAAGAGTATTAATAAGGAAAATGCAACTAAATATAATGCAATTGGTTTTTTTTTCTGTTCTTGTTCTTTTTGTTGTTTTTGACACTTGAAAAAAGACTAATTGGCCATAGTGTCTATACTGAAATAATAATAATAATAATTAGGCCTTTCACTTAAGTGAGATTTCTGTTACACTTCTAAACCTTCTTCATTTAGTGTTCTGTAATAAATTTTTTCAAAGTTCTGGTTTAATCTTTTTTTCATTTGTTTATATAACTAGGAAGGTGGTTTGCTTCTTTTTTCTGTTATGTTCCAGAAGGCACATATAGACCTAAAGTAACCAATTTGGCAGAGATCTTGTTTATCTGTTAGTAGTATTTAGCTCTTTCCATATTTCCACAGCCATTGTTTCAATGCAACTTGAATGTATAGAGTTGTTACAAAGATCTGCATGCATTGCAACCACAAACAAGATAGAAAAATAGGCAAAGAAATCAACTAAGTTTTTAGTGTAGCCATGCATCTTTGCAATTTCTGCAATGTGTTTTTGTTCTATGTGCTATTCTATACACCGAGTGACCAGTAGAATAAAACTCCAACAAGGAACACTCCTCAGTGAGAGACATCTATTCTTCATAAAGTTATACCTATGAACACCACAAGCATTATATATGGCGATAGCATCCCAGGTTGGTGCAAAAATTGCCTAACCCCATACATTCAAGCTGCTTCAAAACAAGGCAGTCAAAGATTTTGAAAGAGCACCAGGAGTCTACCAGATCTATTACTTTAAGTGGAATTTTATAGAACATCAGATATAAGAAGAGATCACTCTACCTTCTGGAACATAAGATAGATATAGCCATTGCCCTAGCTATATAAGAACTCCAATAAGCCACCCTAATGTGAAAAATGACCCATACAAATCAACTTAGGAATTTAGAAGCATTATAAATGTTTAAAGCAGACCTCCAGTTTAAAGAAGAAAAATAGATCTTGCTTGCATGGCAGGCTATATTCGACTGTCGTTATAATACATATCAATCACATAAGTTGTAAACAGATGCACCCCATTGGCTATTTAAGAAAATGATGGCTGGTTATTGTGATTCCTAAGCCTGGCAAGAAATCTTATTCTGAAACCAAGGCTTTTAGACATTAGGCTAATGTCTTATGTTAAATGCATTGGAGAAGCCAGTTGATAGGCAACTGAGGGACATTTAAAAGCATGTTTATTCTCCATTCCCTGCAGTGAACATTGATATGAAAAATATAAAATTATATAAATATTTTAAAATATTTATATAATTTTAAATAGGTGAGTCACAATTTGGAGGAGGAGTGATGTATGCTTTGGTTTGTTTCCTAAATAACCTCACATGCATTTGAATGCTTTCAAATATTACAATCAGCTGAACAAAAAAAACCAGCTTGAAATCCCCTAAAATGTGGGAGAGGGAGTAAGAATTAAATTTGGGAGGAAAAAGTTATTTTAACTTTTAAATTTAATAAAATTGTTTGTTATAAGTCAAATATTTTTGTATTATCAATTTGAATTTTTCTGCCCTGTGGACATTAAGGGCCCTTTTTTCCGTATCTATTGAGAGTTTATTGGGAGTGAAGGACAAACTGTCCATGAAAAATTCTTGTTCTCTGCCAAGATTTGATCCCGTTCCCAGAGAGGTAGGCTAGCTGAGGAAATTAAACATTCTCATTTCTAGCTAGTTAAACATTATTAAAATGCTGTGTGTAAATAAAATTCTTTAAATTTAGAATTAACTTTGTCTATATTGTATGTGACAGTATTTAATGCTTTTCATTTTCAGGTTATCGTCACATCCATCTTCTCAATGATTTTCGTCAGCCAATCATACCAGCTACTATATTTGTCCATATTGCAAAGCAGAAACTCTCGACAAAACTTTAAAGGGCAAAATAAACTGCATTGAAGATATATGCCAAATATTTATAATTGTTCTTTGTGAATTTTTCTAAGAGTTTAACAATATATTGTTAGAAAGTTTTACTGTTTTTTTTTTTAATTGTTACATATAAAAATTGAGCATATTAAAAAAAATTTTTAAATAAATTGCAGCTCTGAATATTACAGATACTATTAATCCAATCTATAAAAGCTTTGGATTTTGTTATTCATAAAATTTTGTAAATAAAAAAAATATCAAGTTTAATATTAGTCGTCTTTTTTTTCCTTTCCTTAGAATCATGCATTTTAAATACTAATTAAACTGATAAAATTAGTACACTAATTAATAAAAAAAATTATGCATCTATGTTTATACTTTCAAAACAATTTTTGTAATTTTCAGATAGTAAACATTTTCTGAAATTTTTAGAGCTATTTTTATGTTGTTTATAACATCAAGAGTGCATTAGTGTGAAAAATCCATGTCCAACACAACTGTCATCACAATTTTTCCCCAAAATCATCAAACTTATTGGGACTCTCACCTTTTAGTTCTCTCCCCTTTCATTTATATATACACTTGAACTTCTAATTTCTAAAAAGGTAGTTATCAGTATTTAAATTATGTCTTAACAGTTTACAAGTTTTTCACTAGGATTGAACAAAATTAAAGCATGGAGGTTTGAAGTTGAATGGAACAAACTGTACAGCAAGATCTGAGTTCAAGACCCAAAGCTATTAGATTACTTTCTGATTCCTAAATTAAAGACCTTGGAGAAGAGTACAGTGACCGCAAAATCAAGCACAATGGTCAAATTTGTTTTCTCGTACATAATTGAAGCAAGTATGTGTTCACATTTGGTAACCAACTTTTTCTATGAATTTTTCAGCCTGGGTAAATCATTGAAAACCAATTGAAGCCATGCTTTGCCTTAGGAGTTACTATTAAATATAACAGGCAAGCCAACACAGGATAGGTATGTTAGTGACACATGAATAAAGTGCAAGTTTGAAAGATCAAGATTTCTTAGAGATACAAATCTGTTGTGAGGTGTTTTTACTTAAGTGTATCAATTTTGAAGGGTAAATTTCTCTAAATAAGCCAAAAATTGGGATGCATTTTTTTCAGATGGTTAGTTTTTTTCTCCTCTCAGAATCCATGTTTTCAATCTTTTTTCAGCACTGAAGAAAGATGGCTTCAAAACATTGACACTACAGCAAGTAGGCACAATGCACTTTGCTCCAAAAAGATTAAAAGTAACATCAACTAGTCTTATTTTCCTTACTGATTTTAGTCATTTTTTTCCTTCAAAGTTTAAATACTCCTTAGAATAATCAAATTCTGCTCGAATCTCTTGAAACATGCAATATACCATAATCAAAAAGAAGTAATTAAGGACAATTTAACATACATGACCAATAAGCAATGGGTCTAGTACAAATGCACAAGTAAAATTTGGGAAAGCAGCAAGAAAATAAAGATTTAGGAAGCAGATAGTTTTATCTTTATGTAAGATAATTTCTCTGTACTACCATATCTTCTCTGTAGTCTTCATAACAGACATTTCTCTCTTAAAAAACATTAGTCTTTTATATTTGCTTGAAAGTTTTCCTACTTCCTCACTACGAAACTTTTTAATTTCAAAAAATAGCATGTTTGACAAATTTATTTTACAGCATCATTTGCACTTTTTTTTTCCAGACCAAATCTTTCTTGTCTGTTTCTTAGGTTTTCAAGTAATGCCTTAAGTACCAAGGAAGAACAATGTCATTAATCTTTTTATTTTCTTTTGCAGCATCTTTTAGTTTATTTAATTTTCTTTTTTTCCACTTTGGTTCTTCAGAGTGCTATTAGTAGCTGCATATGAACTGCTACTCAAGTCAAAGATATGAGTTTACAGATATGACAATTTTCCTGAATCCCCTTAAGTGTTCTTTCAGAAGAGGACTTGCAAGTGAACTGTTATAAATGAAAACTGTGGAGTGTGGTAAAATCCACACTTGCATTTGAATGTTACAGGCAAAGTAGTTTTTTTCTTAAGGGTACACAGGCCCTCTGGTTACACTATTGGCAATTCTTGATTGTTTTCTTTATTTACAAACACATCTTTTTGCTGCTGTACAAGGTTATAAAACATTAGTCATTAAAGATGATAGCTTTTGCTTAATAAATATCATGTTTGTGTTCAAAAATTGAATGTTTCCTTGACTCAATGGATTAGAACAAAAATACTTAACACTACATATTTGTACAATTTACAAAATAATTGAGATTGGTAGAAAATAATTTATTGTATTTAAATCATGTTCAGTGTTAAGTAGATTTGATCTCAAACTGAGATATCAAAAACTTTGGGATTACAGTAAGAACCCGCTTAACACTGCCTCACTTAATGCTGATTCGATATAATGATTAAAGCCTAAAAAAGCTCAAAACTTATGCTGATTTAAATTATCGTGGCATTTTATTGATTCATACATAATATGATTATTTACAAACACAAACCAATAAGAAAAAGATGTACTTTCTTTAAATCTATGTTTGTTTGGTGCAATTTTGGAAAAAATATAACATCATGGATGCCATAGGAAATATTGACTGATAAATGCATGAACGAAGTGTGGAAGAAGTTATGGCCGAAGGTATCCAAGAGATCTCAACAAGAAGAGCCTACTGCTGGACTAGGATATATAGATTAGCTGGATATTAAGGAGTTACAGCAGGTTTCTGGTGATAGCCTTACCAATGACGACCTTCAAGAACTGGCAGAACATGGAATTCACGTGGAACTGAAAAAGAGAGATTCTGAAAACGAAGAACACAAAAAATTTCCTTAGTAAAAGTTTGGTCAGATAACAAAAATCGTTGATGAAATTGTAGTGTATGATTCAGATTTTGAAAGGAGTGCAAAAGCAAAACAAGGCGTTTTGAATATGATCTTCTGCTACCGACATTTGCTTAAAGAAAGAAAAAAAAGCAACAAATGAAACTTCAAGACTTTTCTGAAATTTTTGTTTTTTTGCAATAAAGTCAGGAAATTCATCACAAAAACTGAACTTTACCTTTCTGTGTGCATATGTTTGTGTGTTGTTTAACATAAAATTAAAGTAAAATTTGTTTATTTTTATAATAATATAAGTTAATTTTGGTTGCATGTTTCCCTATCCCTATTTACTCTGTTAAAATGACTTCGCTTTGTTGTCTAGGAATGCATCCCCCGCATTAAGCGGGGTCTTAGTGTACTTTGATCCCTGTAATTTAGACTTTCCCTTGTGTATAATTTATAAATTTCAAGGGCATTGATGTGTTTGAGGCCATGCCTACTACTCATGTTTGGTAATACTTGCTTCATCCCATTGAACCCTGACAGTCATCTAAGACATAAGTGACTAAGGCTGTCGATAGGAGTGACGACTTAATGGCATATTGGTGTACCTGCGGTCCTTGACTTTACGAATGAAAAATCACTCCTATGTATTCCAAATCATAGAATACTCTGTCATCAGTAGAACAGTGTACACACTAGGAATTCTTAAAGGCCCATTTGTCATTTCAAAGGAATTTATAAACTGTCTGAATCCTTCTGTTCACCACTGCCGTCAAAACCCTCTTAAAATCATCTCTCAGTAATATTTATAATTTATAATTAAAATTTTTCCTCAGCATAATTTATAATTGAAACTCTGTAGTCCATTAGTATACTCTGAACTGGGATGTCCATTAGCTGTTGATCAATGATTTGAATGATTCTAGGGTGATAAGGAAGTCTAAGAATGCCTTGAATTAATGCATCTCTTCCTGTCTGTCAACAATATTTGGGCAATGGGTATGTGACCTTCTAAGTAAGGCCTTGAAAGCAGCTAACTTGAAGTGAAGAGTCATGTGAGACTGTTGTATGAGGGTTTTTAAAAGTATTTAAGGTGGGTTTTTTGTTCCATGTGATAAGAATTGTCTATATACTTGGTGTAAATGCAGATACATTTACTGTATTTCAATATATGGACCTCTCCAATGATCTTAAGCCATTTTGCAGAGTATTCCCAGCAGGGCTACCCATGGACACTCTTCTCTTGCAAGTAAGCACTTTTGCCAAACTGGAAGATTAAAGATAGGCTGGTTTTAGAGCTGCCAAACCTGGTAATCTGGTAACCTACGAAGTGAGAGAGACATTAATTATTCTTCTGGCATTAAATGTTGCAAAAGAATTACAAACAATATCATTTACAGGCACTATGTTCAATGAAAAATAACTGTTTGTTTATTATATATATATATAATACAGTAAACAGTTATTTCTCATTGAACATGGTGCCTGTATATATATATATATATTATGGAAGTAAAAAATAAATGCATACATACATTATTAGACCTGAAAAAGGTTCACAGCAGTCACTGTCATACTCATCATACAAGTCTCTGAGTGTTCATAAACAATACAGTATTGGTAAGATTTTAATGATAAATGTTGTTATATATAATGCTATACATGATATGAAATAATTGCACTGAACTTATCACAAAGTGTGTCATAGCTAAATATGCTACTTTGCATTATCTATGATATATACAAAAGCATTTAACAAATGTACAATTTCCATGCCCACTAATGTACGTATGATATTTCATGAATCTTTAATATTTGTTTACACATTCATTTAATTGAATGTGGTGTTAAGCGCAATATACTTAAACACTATTGCTGTATTGTATTATGATATGTATACACTGTTCTTGCATTTTCTGTGGAGTATATGCTGCAGAATGTTATCCACACTAAATTACAGTAATCAAAAATAAAACCTTCATATGACTTGCCCAGCCATACCCATGCCTCCAAGTGGGTGTATGACAAAGCAAAAGCAAGATTACCAGAATGCAGTTTACAAGCTACCATCTCAACCATTAAAATATTGCTTTCATTTGTTAACAAATTGTAGACCTGTTTAGATCTATACAACACAATCAAAATGTAATAAAGTACTAAAACACTGTAAAATGAAGGAGACCTTTTGTATTTTGATTCATATTAAATGTTTTTTGAGACTTTCACCTCATCAGATAAAATGAATTTTTGAATTTTTTGTTCTGGAAGGCAGGTTTCAACTAGTTTGTTGATACTGGCCCTCAAAATACAAGCATGAAGAGTTCAGAAAGAATTAATCTAATAAAATATTTAATTCTCTCAAATTTTAAAATTGCTGTTATGTAAAATTATAAGCTGCAAAATGTTTTAACCTTTAAATATGCTGATTGAAACTATAACTGATTCAGTCTGATCTACTTTATGCTTCATAACAATTCGTTGTTACACGTCAATTACATTTGCATTCTTGAAATTTTTACTCCCCCATCTCTTGTCTTAGTTTGTCCAGGTTTCTATAATCCTCTCTTCTCTTTGGACATCCAACAAAACTCAATCCCCTTTAAAACCTCTATCACTTTATGCATTTTATTATATTTATTTCAAAATTTCTTTCTAATTATTTCATTTCTGCTTATGGTATCATTCACAGTGTATAAAATTTAATGAAATAAAATGGATGTTTAATGAATCTCAACTCTTCTCCTCTCCTTGTCAGACTTTGCATTAATATTAGGATAATTTTTGAACCAAATTTAATAATTATATTTAATAATTATCAAATTTAATTCAAAAAAATAATGAACAAAATCAAAACTAAAGACAAAAAATAAATTAAAAAAGATAATCTAAACTCTAATGTAGAAATCCATTTCCCTCTAATTCAACTAATATTTGTATAAAATTTAAATATTTAATAATGTACTTGATTGTAAATTCATGCCTTCAATCAAGTTTCAGGGCATACTATCTATGTGATTTCTATCGTTGTAAAATTGTCAAGACAGATCCAATCAACATTTATCAAGTGCATGATTTATTTATATAAATAGAATTCACAATTGTTTTGCTACAATATATTTGGAAAATATTTGAAATTTAGATATAATTTTTTTCCAAAATTTGTATATTACATATTGTAACAAATGATGATTGAAAAAACTTGGTCATTCTACTGTAAATGACATAGCATATACAATTTCCCAAGAGAAAAAAATTAGCATTTTTTTTTAGATTCTACATGACATATTTCACATGAATAAAATTAAATAACTTTACATACACTAATTGCCTTCATATTAATTAAAGAAAATATTTGAAATTTGATATTTCAATCACAAGTAATATATTTAAATAAAAAATTACATCGTAATTTCTTATTTGAATTTGAACTTTCAGTGGCAAAACAAAGAATATGAAAATAAAAAGTAACTTATAAAAGCAATGGTTTATTATATTTGATAACCTTATTGCTTTCAGTTTGCAATGGATTTCTGGAAGTTTTAATCCCAGAAAATATAATTTGAACTGTATAATATTACACAGAAAAATATGGCACTTAAATATGGCATTTCACATAGTCACATTCAAAAACATATCTACTTACAAGGTACTGTACTTATCTATTTATTTAATTCAGGGGTCGCCAAAGTGGTCAATATAACATTATTGAGGGGTCGATTATCAAGTTTAAGCTAAGGATCAAGCTTATCTGTCTCACTGATTGTCAGTTACAAAAATTGTTAACAAATATACAATGTAAAAAAACATGCAAAATTAAAAGAAATGCATTAAAATAGTAAGTACTTTGTTTCGCTTGTAACAGAAACTTTTTGGTGGGGGTTGATGTGAGGTTCGAAAACTTGTAGGGGGTCGACGATCAAAAAAGTTTGGCGACCCTTGATTTAATTATACTCAAATATCAAATGAAAAGCTTTCCCTTTCTAAGAAAAACATAAATAAACCAAAAACAGTAAAAATAAACCAAAGCAATAGTGTTTTGAGTTCAGGATATTCATAAGTTCTTTATGATGCTCATAGGCTACTAAATTTTTGGAAGTGTATAAATGTTCAATTATAGTCTAGACTTTTAAAAAACATGCAATTTCTTATATTAATTATTTGATATGCAACATTTTATTCCTGTTTCAGAAATAATGTAGTAGTAAATTTATACAGAGAGAAACACTGTACTATCTACTAAAAATGTCTCAGATCAATCAGACATTCATATTTTTGTTGGATTTGATATAGGAGAAAATTATTAAAAAGAGAAACATCAAGAGAAATTACCATCAATAGAGCATAACTAGTATGATTCTTGTATTAAATTAGAAAAAATGACAATGCATTTGTACATACACAATATAATTCATGTTTCAGAGAATAGACTAAAAACTTTAGATATCAATACTTTCCAAGACTTACGATTATAGTCTGACTCTATAGGCAAAGGAAAATAATTCCATGTTTATTACAAAGAAGAACCTATAATATTCTATGTTCTATATATATATAGGCTTACCATAATTTTTGAAAGGCAATTCTGGACATTTACCCTAATTATAAATAAATAACTCCAGGACATCCAGAACACTTACATCATAATATTACTTTAGAATAGAATAAAATTTAATAAGGTTGCCTATAAAAGTGTAACATATATTTTGACATTTTAATTTACACATTAAAATAAAACAGGTATATTATGTAAATGATGAGAATGATTGTTCTTGTTTAGACTTATTGCATTGTATTTTTTCACTAGATAATACTTTCCTTAAAATTATTTGTGCCATTGCAAATGAGAATGGTTTAACTCGAAAAACAAAAATGGATTTATGATGACTATTTGTTACAATGCTATGTAATCTTTTTATAAAATATAAGGCATTTTTAAAACCAGAAAAACATAATACCAACAAATTATCAGTCACCAATTTTTTCAATCAATACAAATAAAAACCTTTAAATAGCTTGATTTAAAAATAAATGGACTTAAACTCCAAAATGAGCCATTGCAAATGAAAGTGGTTTTTATGGTCATAAAACTCTCTACAAGAATATTTAGAATTCACTTTTATGTTTAATAGGCATTTTATTACTGGCTTTGCAGCTAACACCTTTCTGATTAAAAAATGTTTATGATGAAAAACATCCTTTCTAATGGAATTGATGTTCTGGTAAACATATCAAACTCAACTAACATTTTTTGCTACTGATGAGAGCAACTTTGCCGGGCTGGGAAAAAAAATTATACTAAACTTTTCTAAACTTGCACCAAAAACAGCTTAAAAATCAATTTTTCCCAACACATTTTTAAAGATTATAAAATTCTATGTATAATAATAAAGTATATATTACTTCATTACTTTTATTAAATCCTTGTGAGAAACATTGAGTAATAAATTATTGTTGCAACTATAAATAATTTATTTTTTCTGTTTCTTCTCCACGTAAAAACTTAATTAATTAATTCTCCTTATTTTCATTTCTGGACACAATCTCAAATGTTGCAGTGATTCCAGGACAGTCCAAGCCAAACTCAAACATATGGTAACCCTATCTATATATATGCTCAAGCAGTTATTATGTATTTGAAATTTCTGACATTTTTGCAAGAAATCATAAAACAAACAAAAAAAAAATCACATGATATCATACATTATTTCCCCCTTTATAATTATAATTTTATGTAATTTCAAATGCTTAAAGTCTAGAAAAGCAATTTATAACACTGATTTCAGTTCCAAGACCCAGGGCTATAGTCTCTGTTTCCCCTCCATCTTGTCAGCACTAGTTATATCAAGAATGATCAATATATATGATTCATTATCATGGATCATATATATTGTTCATCTTTGTGGCTTTGATCAACAGTTTTTAACCATTTTGCATTAGCAGATTTATTTATTGGGAGTAAATAATACAATAAAGAAAAATATAGTCAGTATCATATAGCCTGCTCCTACAGTTGACATAACTAAAATATGAAAAGACAATATATGAATAATAGGTAAAAATAGGCAATTAGACATAGAAAAAAATGCATTTGATCTGGAGTAAGCACTGTAAATCTGTGCATGAATGAATAATATAGCCTTTCTATAATACATAAAAAATGATATCTTGTCTATGTCAGGCTGAATTACTATTTTCCAACTGAAAATAGTAATCTAAAACAACTACAAATTTTGTTAATTTGTATATATGAGACCTTTAAACTTTCAAGGATCATTTATAAACAATAAAAAATGTATTCATGTATATTTTAAATTGTATATACTTTCATAAACCAGATGCAATGAGAGTATCAGAAATAAACACTAGAGAACTTATCGAATAAACTACAACTTGAAATGTCAATTTAAAATAAAAGTTTTACCTTAAAGATAATATGTTTTGTGTGTCATTTAGTGCATTCAATGTACAGACAATTATAATTTATTCATATTTCATTCTCAGAAAAGTAAACAGAAAGAAGAATTAGATAATGTGCTGAAATTCTGCCTAATTTCTCAGATTTCAATAGTTAATCATCTTAATGTATACAGGATTTATAATCTATGAACAAACCTAAAGACAGCATAGTGAATTTTAACAATAATGAAAAGGGATAATAGATATTAAAGTAATTAAAAGTAATATGCATTTTCATATATAATTTGTTACACATTGATGTAAATAATTAACCCCATAAAATTACATAATACTAAATACACATTTAATTTTATAATTTTATGTACAAAACAAAGCTCAACAAAATATTTTTTTATTTTTTAACTTAAAATAATTAAAACAGCCATAATTTTCATATACTTGAGAAAATTGCTTAATTTTTAATATTTTTGATGGCATAACCAATGAGCAGATGAATGATCACATTTAGCAAATGTTTTATCACATTTTACAAAACAATTGGGCAATTTCACATTTAAATGTTCTTTTATTTTTTTCTCAGATATTTTAGTACCTTGAATATTTAAATGTTTTAAATTTGAAAAAACATCAGCAAAACTTTTTAAAGTACAATCCGTAACTAATGTATTCTGTAGGCATAAAATCTCTAATGATGAACTTTTCGTAATGGTAACAAATGGTATGTCTGTAATTAAATTGTGGCCTATGTACAGCTCTTTTAAATTTATTCCATTTTTCAATATGGCAATGATACTATTATTACAAATATCTGTTTCCTCCACATCAAGTACCTGCAAGTTACAAAAGATGGAACTAATATGTTCTAAACCTCCATCATTAATTCTATAGCAACCATTTATATATAATTTTTTCAAATGTTTAAATTCAGAAAAATAAATCATATCATGACTACAAACTAAAGTACAGTAACTAAGATCTAAATGTTCTAAGTATGGTAAATATTTTGATGCGTTTGTTCCAAATAATTTATCACAATGAAGAAAGCTTTTTTTAAAGCTGAGGCAAGTTAGTGTTCTTGGAAAATTGCAAATGTTTAAACCATTACCATTTACATGAGCTCCTAAAAAAACTTCTTCTAAACATAATGTTTTGATATCAGGACACTGTTTTTGTAATTTGCTTAACACTGCCTGAGATACTGTGGCTCTCCTCCAGTTTGGTTTTCCTTTTGATAAAAATACATAACCTTTTAATCTGAGATCTCGTAGTATGGGTGTACATTGATATCGCAGTAACTTCCATACTTGCTTAATCGATAAACTTTTTCCTCTAACATCTATTATTTTTCTAAGGCTGTCATCATGAGCAACTCTGTACCAAGTTTTGCAAACTCTGAAAGGAAATAAAAACAATCTTATAATTTTAATTGATTAACTTTATAAATAATTATCAATGAATGCATTTTTTATTGAAAAAATTATATAAATTATATCATAGCATCATAATTTATTGTCAATATTCTAATAAAATTATTAGTTATGTAATAAAAAAAACAATTTCACTCAATCCATGGAAAATAAACATTGAAAAATTATAATCTTATTTTGTTTCAGAAATGCATTCTTTAATGAATCAAGTTTATATACACTGTATATATATATTTTTTTTTACTTTGGAATAGTCTCAATTGAATATGTCAATTATGCTTTATACAATTCTATAAAATAATTAGGTACAATTTGTATTCTTTAACAGAGAAAGCAAATGGACTTCAATTACAAAACATTGCAAATACTAAACAAACAGCCTGATTCTTCATCAGACTATAAGGCTAAATGATTAATGAGTTATTTGGCAAGAGGCAGACCATCAGAGTTGTCATCTCTTGATAAATATAACAAATAAATTTAATCTAAATTTAAGAATATTCTGGAAGAAAAGATTGGTTGATAAAGCATCCAGCTGTTTGTTTGATATTTGTAGTATCAGGTTAGTTGTATTTATTATATATACTTATACCATGCCAGGATTAACCCCAGTCAGCACTGTGAGTGACCAATATGGTTATATCTTAAATTAACCTGGAAGCAATGATTGGACAGTGGTCCAGAAAGTGTAGCTGGCAGCACATCTGTATGGTAAGAGGAAGTAACAAGTTCAAGTTCCACTCAGGGCACATCTTTTTTCCCAGAATATTCTAAAATTTAGATTAAATTAATTAATTATATTTATCAAGAGATGACAGCTCTGGTAGCCTGCCTATTGTTAAATTGCTTAGTAATCATTTAACCTTACAGCTCAATAAAGAATCCAGCTGTTTGTTTTGCATTTGTAATAACTATCAAGTTAGTTGTATTCATTATGCACTGTCTAAAATTTAAATTTCATGCAAATTCTAAAGTTCTCTTGCCAGTCATGGGATGGTGTTTAGGTCAGTCTTTAGCCAGTAATAAATAATAAATGTGGATTTATTTCTATTGTGTATCATCAATTTTCATTTTTGTGAAAATTCTGATGTTTAATTGACACTGGTGAGATGGCACTGATAGTAATGTTGGAGTAATGGTGTTTTTTGCTATTGTTTACAACTTTTATAAATTTTTATATTAGTGCCTCAAAAATGCATCCAAAATATAATAGTAAATCTTGGTTTTTTCCTAAATGATATTTAATTGTTATTCTTTTAAGAAAGAGAGAGTGTTTATGTCTTTTTTTGATTCTTTGGTTAATCTTTTTTTTTTATTTTATGGAGCTTTGTTTAGCAGTGTGTCTTCTTTTTATTGTGTTGGGGCTTTGGGGAGGGGTTCTGGAGACTGTGTTGTTTAGTGCTTTCTTATTTGGGGGGCTTTGGGGAGGGGTTCTGGAGGCTATATGTTGTTTAGTGGTTTCTTTATTTGTGGGCTTTTTATCCTCTGTTTTTTTTTTTTTAGTAAGCATTAAGTTAATAAAACTAATAGCCTTCAAAGCTTTAAATGGTGGGAGTCATGCTTAGGTGATGGCGTCTTTAGATTTGCAATCTAATGTTTTGGCTAAACTAGTTAGCTTTTTGCTGGTTTGGGAGTGGTATCATAATAAAATTTACAGTTTTATGCCTGAGCTTTCAGCCACGGAAACCTTGCGATGATTGTATTCTACAAATCACAGGGATATTGGTACTATGTATTTGGTATTGGGTATTTGGGCCTCTATGGTGGGGACTGCTTTAAGATTAATTGTTCGGGGGGAAATTGGGATGCCTGGTTCTTTGGTTGGGGATGATCAGGTTTATAATGTGGTTGTGATGGCCCATGCTTTTGTAATGATTTTTTTTTGTGGTTATACCTATTATAATCAGCAGGTTTGGAAATTGATTAGTTCCTTTGATGCTGGGTGCCCCAGATATGGCTTTTCATCAAATGAATAATATGAGCTTTTGGTTGCTTCATCCTGAATTTTTCCTTTTGCTCTCTTTTGGACATTGGAGAGTGGGGCAGGGACTGGCTGGACAGCGTATCCCCCTTTCCTCTTCTTTGACCCATGTTGGGGGTTCAACGGATCTTACTAGTTTTTCTTTACACCTGACTGGTGTCTCTTCTATTTTGGGTGCTATTAGAGATAAATGCAAGAAATGTTCCTCTATTACCATGGAAACTAAATTGGACAATATAAAACTATGTGCATTAGGTAAAAGAATCAAATTTGAAATACCTGCTACTAAGCAGTAGCAAGTATGTAAATGAGCATAATATATTCCATTAAGTATACTGAAGAATCAAATACTAACAATACATGGTTATTCCTTGTACAAATGTACTTTCTAGGTTAGTTTTCAACTTCTGACAAAACCTTGGAAACTAACCTGTTTGTAAGTAGGGGAGTACTTGTATTACAGAAATAAATTGCAAATGGAAAATAAATTTTGAAGTTTTATATGTAACTTACTTTTACAATTAAAGCATTTGTTTAAACTCACTAATCTTCAATTCTTTGTATGATAAATAATAGCGAGGTTGAGACTGAAGTTTTAAATGCGAAAACATGTACGTCGGACATTCAGTACCGTTTTCCAGTAAGCCTAGAAGTTTGACAATGGTGTTTGGAAAGTCAGTGGAAGCATGCTCGACATTCCAAACGCCATTGTCAAACTTCTAGGCTTACAGGAAAGCAGTGCTGAACGTCTGACATACATGTTTTTACGTTTAAAACTTTGGTCTCAACCTCGCTAATAAACCACCAGTAGTAACAAAAGAAATGAAAGTTATTTTTAAAAATTCTATTAGAATTTTTAAAAATATTTCAGAATTACAGATTAAAAGAGATAGTTTAAAAGAATTAGGATGAAAGTGACTGTGTCGTAAATGAATAAAAATAATTATTTACTTATAATTCATTTTCTAAATTATATTTTACTATGATTAATGAAGAAATCATAACTGATAAAAATTGAAACTTCCATCTACTAAATAAACACTCTAAGACCAAAATCCAGCAAGAAAAATGATACTTTAATAAGCAAAACAAATATTTTCAACCATTTTAAATGGTCATCATTAGATTTAATTGAGTAAATTGAAGTAGCAATTGCAATTAGAATACTAAATTTCAAAAAGGGAACAACAATTAAAAATTTTTTATTCTAATTGTTCATCATCAGATTTAACTGACTAATTATTATGATTGTTTAAAACAGTTGATGACCATTTAAAATGGTTGAAAATATTTGTTTTTCTTATTAAAGTAACATTTTTCTTGCTGGATTTTGGTCTTAGAGTGTTTATTTAGTAGATGGAAGTTTCAATTTTTATCAGTTATGATTTCTTCATTAATCATAGTAAAATATAATTTAGAAAATGAATTATAAGTAAATAATTATTTTTATTCATTTATGACACAGTCAATTTTATCATAGCCATTGTTCACTATTCTCCTTTCTATAATCTTTATTCTGTTATACTAAAGATATGATACAACAGCAAAAATGTTATGTTACATATATTGTTATGTAACAGAACTTCAAAATATTAGAACATTATTGATATTATATTCTTGCTTTCTATGAAATAAATACAATCTATGAATATATTTAATGTATTAAAAATTGCAATATAGTAAAAATGATACATAATAATTAGAAAACTTTCGTTAAAATTTTATATTTAAAATTTAAAGTAATCTCAAAGTGAACTATTTTTAAAAAATTACAAAAGTAGCATAATATGCTATTAAATTTTGTTCTCAAAAATTTCAAAATTAGTTCTGCATTCATAAAATTATACTTACCGTGAAGCACGGCTTAATTCAATAAATGAAAGATAATTGAATATCTCTAACAAAATGCTATCTGGGATTACATTTTCAGAAATTTCAGAAGTACCCAATTCAACCTCCAACTGCAGTTTAATAGATTTAGCCATTTGACTATAAAACCTTCAAATACAAATAAAATGTTTTTTAAAAAACTAAGTTATCAAGTAATTATTAATTTTAAAAGAAAAGAGTTTAATTTAATTTTAAAAACTTTCTAAGATATTATACAGAATATGTTTCAAGTTTCACTCTCTCAGTGGATTCGGACATATGTTTTTCAAAGGCAACGTCTTTCTCCATTCAGGTAATAGAAAACTCCTCATCGACCGTTCTTATACAATTCATAATTAATAATCATTAAAATTCAAATGATAAACACTGTTATAAAATAGACAGACAGACATCTTTTTTTTTCTTCTTCTTTTATTTGTATCGGAGTGTTTTATTCTAACGTTTATCACTTCTGAAATGGATTGACAGGTAAACACACGCTCACCTCGTAGGTATTAAAATAGCTAAAATGTATATAAATTTGAATTTTAAAATGATCGAAAACTTTAAGCAGTCGTCTAATGTATTTTAGAGAGCATCGAAGATTTTTTTTTTTCTTTTCGAGTCACGTTTTATTTCAGAACAAAAATAAATCAACTTATTTTATAGCAACAACTCACATTATATAGGATACTATGGCATTCTCCGCACCAATTTGAACGACTTTATGGAACATTCCCATTTACTAAACTAAATAGCTTACCTGAGCAACGGCGGGGCTTACGGGATCTAAGCGAATGCGATTTATTCAAAATTATATCAAAATTCAGTGAAACATTCACCTTTTTTTTTTAAATATATTTTTTCTCCCGATCTAGACGTTAAATATAATCGACAGAATCGCTTNTGATATTGGCGTTGTAAGTGAATTTATGTGAAAATATAATGTTAAAGTGATAGAGTGCAAATCACGTGACTTTTGGTGTGTAAAACATTGCAGCTTATATAGCTTACATCATTTTGATATTCCAGAGAATTTGTAACTCAGTGAGTCTTTTATCATTTTATTGTAAAACTGAAATGAATTCATTCATTAGAAAAAATGCTTTTTACCTCTCCTGAAAAGTTTCTTTTTTGGCATTTACAACATTATGGCATTGCACACTTCATATAACTCTAATACAATGTTGTAACTTTCAATGGAAAGTTATATTGGATTGTTATATAAAACAATAATTCATAACAAGTTGCATAGTTACCACATTAAAATTTTCTAATAATTTTACAGGAAAATGTACATGCAATAGAACTTGGTTCAGTAAGCTATCAAAACACAAGAACCTTATTATATCCCATCCCAGTAACAACAAATTTTAATTAAAACTAATGTTTTCAACCATAATCATGGTCTTCCTCAGGCCTTTGACCAGTACAAGTTGAATATGGAATGCGTCAAACATGTTTAAAATTATCTTAAAATACCAAAACAATTAAATGCTAGAAGATAATTTTTAGCCGTATGTGCTACAATAGTGACAAAAATATCCCTACACCAAAAACAATAAATAATAAGATATAATTAATGGTGTAGAAAAGGTAGCTAAATGCTAGTGTTTTTTTCATAGCACCACCTCCATGCATAAGAAATAGCAGCATCCTTTGTGTTAATACAATTGCTGGCCAGGCCAGCCTTGTATATTTCTAATGCTTCCAGGTTGTGAAGATGCTCTACCTGATGTGACTGTCTCACCAATTTGATTTTATGAAGGTTAGCTTGTATTTTGGGGTCTGTGGCATAGGCGGCTAGGATGATGGTTAGCGATATCATACCTGTTCTCCCGTATTCTTTGCTTAGTGAGTGCTTCGTGGATCTGACATATACTATCACATTGGAATCTGTGGGTCTCTGAGATGAACCATATAGACACCAGGTGCCAACTTATTGCCAAGGTACCCAGTGATTCTGCAAGTAGTTGTTTCAGTAAGCTATATTTGATCTAAATTTCCATGAAAAGCAATATGTCTACTGGATCATAAGAATATTGAGTCTAAGTTGCAACCTAGACTTAATTAACCCATCAAATTCATTATTATTTTTAATATGAATAGTTATTTGTATAATGAATTAATCTATAAATGTATGAAAATAATCAATTATATGCATAATAAAATATCATATTTATTAATTATCAAAATACTTATTTGTTATTTTATTATGTTTATTAATATTTTCTTAATATCAACTATTTTTTACACTCATTCTCTTTCATATTAAAATTCTAGATGACCTAAGTCTTATGGACATTTGACCAATAGACATTTCACCAAATGGATATCTGTGTGAATCAACAGTTGCAATTTGTATTTCTTTTTATTGTAGTTTGTTATTTCTTTTTCTCTTTGTAACTGCTTTATAAAACAAATTATAAAAATGATATAAGGATAACATCATTTTATGATATAAAAAATTTATTGCACATATACTAAAGGATAAAATACTTTTATTGTATTTTTATTAAAAAAAATTACATTAAATGTTCTTAAATATTTAAGAATTGTGGGCAATTGTTCTCAGAAAGTCTATTTTGGGATATGTTTCATATTTCTCAATGACAAACGTCAGTCTTTTGCTTAATATCTGGTACTTCTTTGGTTTTCTCAATGCCATTCCTGATGTTACCATCACAAATGATTTCCAAGAATTTGACTCTGAAATTAACAGTACTGTACAAGAAATTATGCAATTCATATTGGATCGAGGGCAGTGGTTCCCAAAGTGGGTGGTACTAACCCCTGTGGGTAGTGAGTAAATCTATGGGAGCAAAAAGAAGCAAGTGGGCGACAGGGGCACTAGAGACAGGATACTCAATGGTGACCGTAGGCGAAGGTTGAGGTCACTGATAATTTTTCCCTTTCTTCTGTTAAAACTAGGGTTTGTATACATTCTGTATTCTAGGATTGCTCCTTATTTTCAGGTTGTGTCCCATTGTCCTCACAAATTTCATTGGGACACATTGTCCTGTATTTTATAAATTTGTGTTGAACATAATATATGAAATAATCCAAAATAAGAAATCGATGTCTCGTACATAAAAATTTCTTATCAGTTGGGCAATACTGTCCTACTGCCTAGCAGACATGGCAATAACTAAGTACAGCTTACTTAATACACTGCTCTGCTGTGATTTGTGAACTTGTACACTATCATAGTGGTCAGCCATCATAGCGTTATTATTTCACGTGCCACATACCTAAATCAAAATGCTAAAGAGAAAGTATGTTCTCACAGAAAGCCTAAGGACTGATTACCCTTTTATTACCTCTTCTAATTGTAATAGTAAAGTTGATGATAAAGTGAAATGCACTATGTGTAATGCAATATTCAGTATACAACATGGTGGCTGGTCAGACATAAAGGGGGTGATTGAGCCGGCGCTGACTTACGCAACGCAAATTTGGAACAACAGGGCAAACCTTGTCCACTTAAAGAGGAAGTTACTATCTGTACAAAGGTCCTTTGCCATTCGGATATGCCATGCATACCGCACGGCGCCCACTGATGCCCTCCTTGTTATCGCAAACATCACCCCAATCCACATTAAAATTAATAGTTTAGTGTGGTCTTGGAACTTAATGAGGACAAGCCCTAGCCAACAAACAGAGAGCGGCCAGCTTGCTTCCATTGATAACAGAACAAACCCACAGGAGGATCAAGAGGTAAAGGAAAAAATAAGCAAATACAGTAGACAGCTATATTAACAGTGTCACTGACCAAAATCACCCCGCGGAAAGGAGCAGTATTCATGTTAACATGAAAAAAGAGAGCAACCACCCCAAGTTCAACTGGGAGATATTCACTGATGGTGCCGAGAACGATATTGGCACTGGGGTGGCAATGGTCATTTATAACAACCAAAAAGCCGTGGCACACGAAGAGTACTACAAGCTGGCAGACTTTTGCACCGTTAATCAGGCCGAGCTATGGGCCATAGAAAGGGTCCTACTCTACATCACCAAAAACATCAAAAATTTCAAGGGCCCAATAAACATCTCCACGGACAGTTGCTACATATTAAACAGCATAAATGGCAGTAAAAAGAACACTAAAACAGGAGTGAACATCCAGCATCTTGCAAGACACTTAGGCAAGCANATTTTTTACTAAATGTAAAAATTCTGCTGTTAACTACAGTTTTTTACTAAAAATTTTTGTTTGATATAATGTTAATTTCATCTGAAAAATAATATTTTATAATTATTTTTGTGACCCATAAATCAGTCATTCTATCATCACAGGTTAAACTGCTAATAATTTTTCTCTATGTATATATTCATTATCAATCAAAATATGTAAATTAACATATTCATCATTTTTTTGGAAACAGCAACGTTACACAAATTATATCCAAGGGATTCAAGCCATGGTGAAAAATATGAATTATTAATTCTCATCGTGCTTTCAAGTATAAATGTATTGTAGATTCTAAGGACCAAGTATTGTGGGTAGAGTACACTTTCCTTAATAATAATCCCATAAAATCTACCATTCATATTCAATGTTAGATTCAAATTTCTGATCTGATGAATTTGGAATGATGTGTTAGCGTATATCATTTTCTAAATGAATGTTATTACAACCATTTTTTTATACAAAATTAAAATTTGTTTCTAAAAATTTTTAAACAAACATTTAATAAGGATTCTACAATCTATTAGTTATAAAAATTACACAAATTAAATATACAATAAATATAAAATTCCTAAAAGTTAATCATACAGAAAATGAATTACTAATATTCAATACAGAATATCATAAATTCTAAAGACTAATTTGTAACTTCTACAACTGCTAAAATAACAAACTACAAAATTTCTTACTGCAACTAACTCTACCCAGTCACATTTCTCACATGCTAATCATCACTAGTTCTTACTAAATCTAAAGGGATTTAATTATAATTTGAATTATATTCTTGCAATTTTCTTTTATATTACCATATTATTATCTTTTCCGAATATTCTTTTCCAATATTTTTCTTAATAATTGAAAGAACTTCTTTTTTATCTCAATATTTAATTTTTATTCACACATTATGAACTTCTCTCTTCAGCAACAGAATTCATTACCTAATGAAATAATAAGGCAGAAGAAATGATGGACAGACATGTTTTGCCCATAATATATGTATGATGGGCATAACAAGCATCAATAGTTATTTAATTCATGAATTACAATTTTACATAGCAGTTAACAAAAAATAATTCAGAATATTTTTATATATACAATAGTCCCTTGTTATATCACTTACTTGGATTTTGTCTCCAAATATGCATGATATTACAAGAGATTATCATATTAATTTAACATATTATTTTATTTAATATCTAATTAAATAAAATAATAAATAATTGTTCTACCTTGATACTTAAATAATCATATATGAGAGGTTAGATAGTAAAAGACAAAGAAAAGGTCATATATAGAATATTGCTATTCTAAGGTAAAGGAAGAACACAGAGAAGATAAGTTTACTGAAAGATGAAGAGAAAAAGATATTAGTGAAAGAGATGTAATACTTTAATAAGCTTCTAAATGAAGATGCAGAGTTGGATGGTAGCTCAAATATAGAAGTCAAAGAGACTATAATTGAAAATATAAAATAATGTAGTTTCAACAAAAACATGTAGGAGCAGATCACATGCCTGTTGACATGTATAAAATTTTAGTGAACTAGGAATAAAGTGGTTAATTAGTCTATTTAATAAACCAGCAATAGGAGACTCAATGAGAGAGTAATGGAGGAAGAGCTGAATAGTATCATTATATAAGAAAAAAGATATGTAATAGGAATGTGATCATTACAGAGAAATATTAGTTTTATCTCTCTGTAATGATCACATTTCCATTCATTACATATCTTTTTTCTTCAAGTCATACAATGAAATTCTAAGAAAGGATTAGGAATATTAGTATTAAGAATAAGACTATACCTAAACAAAAATCATCACTAAACCCGATATATTTAAAGCTATACACCAACCAATACCGAATATTATCAGGCTAGAAACAGCTATAATATTAATAATTTATAAGATAATTTGGCACTAAAGTTAGACGTTAGGCACCATCTCTTGATAAATTTAATAATTATAAATTTTAATTAAATAATGTAGAATTACTAGAAGAAAAGAATTGGCCTGAAGTGTACTCGAATCAACAACTTCTGATTACCGTGCAGATGCATTGCCAATTACGCTACCCAGACTGGAGAATTATTAATATTATAGCCGTTTCTAGCCTGATAATATTCGGCATTGTTGGTGTATAGCTTTAAGACTACACCTATCTAATTTGAAAAAATTTTATATATTTTAATGCCTTCAAATTCAGAACAGGTAAATTCATTTTCAAGTAAAAAGTAGCATCAATTTTAAGCAGAGATAAGTTTCTGAATGGTAATTAGGTGAACTGTAAGTGAATTAGAGTTATATAAATTGTGCAATTTTCNAAAATACATAAATTGTAGAGTTATTGGTAAATAAAATTTACATAATAAAGGATTGAAAAAATTAAAAATTTTTTAAAAACATTAAAATGCATGTTTTAAATATTCATAGTTATATGTTCATCTATAATAAGGTATATTCGATACAGGTTAACTGTTTATATATGATTTATCTTAAATATATATAGCACTTATTGAAAAATTGAATCATCAAAATTAAAAATTAAGATATAACTACCTACCTTACAAAATTATCCAACATTGATTTAATCCAAAACCAAAGTTTAATAATGCTCCATCCATAACGCCAAAGCAATTTTCCAATATTTACAGCTTGATTTTTAGTTTCTTTAAAAACATATTCTTTTCCATTATATATTCCTAATAAACCAGATACAGGATCTCTTCTTTTCAGACCTAAAATAATAGATAACTTAGAGAAAATATTTTATAATTTTTATTTTATATAATCAAAGATATGGACAAAAAAAGGTTGTAATACTGTTGTAGTAACAAACATTAACTATAATACTTTTCCAATGTTCATTATTTAATGTTTTGTTCTTTAATTTCAAGACTATTCTTTGTTATGCGTGATATTACTGTACTGTATTTATCCTGATAAGTAAGTGAAAAGATGTCTTCAGAAATAAAATATGATCAATGTTTTATTTTTTACTAAATGTAAAAATTCTGCTGTTAACTACAGTTTTTTACTAAAAATTTTTGTTTGATATAATGTTAATTTCATCTGAAAAATAATATTTTATAATTATTTTTGTGACCCATAAATCAGTCATTCTATCATCACAGGTTAAACTGCTAATAATTTTTCTCTATGTATATATTCATTATCAATCAAAATATGTAAATTAACATATTCATCATTTTTTTGGAAACAGCAACGTTACACAAATTATATCCAAGGGATTCAAGCCATGGTGAAAAATATGAATTATTAATTCTCATCGTGCTTTCAAGTATAAATGTATTGTAGATTCTAAGGACCAAGTATTGTGGGTAGAGTACACTTTCCTTAATAATAATCCCATAAAATCTACCATTCATATTCAATGTTAGATTCAAATTTCTGATCTGATGAATTTGGAATGATGTGTTAGCGTATATCATTTTCTAAATGAATGTTATTACAACCATTTTTTTATACAAAATTAAAATTTGTTTCTAAAAATTTTTAAACAAACATTTAATAAGGATTCTACAATCTATTAGTTATAAAAATTACACAAATTAAATATACAATAAATATAAAATTCCTAAAAGTTAATCATACAGAAAATGAATTACTAATATTCAATACAGAATATCATAAATTCTAAAGACTAATTTGTAACTTCTACAACTGCTAAAATAACAAACTACAAAATTTCTTACTGCAACTAACTCTACCCAGTCACATTTCTCACATGCTAATCATCACTAGTTCTTACTAAATCTAAAGGGATTTAATTATAATTTGAATTATATTCTTGCAATTTTCTTTTATATTACCATATTATTATCTTTTCCGAATATTCTTTTCCAATATTTTTCTTAATAATTGAAAGAACTTCTTTTTTATCTCAATATTTAATTTTTATTCACACATTATGAACTTCTCTCTTCAGCAACAGAATTCATTACCTAATGAAATAATAAGGCAGAAGAAATGACGGACAGACATGTTTTGCCCATAATATATGTATGATGGGCATAACAAACATCAATAGTTATTTAATTCATGAATTACAATTTTGCATAGCAGTTAACAAAAAATAATTCAGAATATTTTTATATATACAATAGTCCCTTGTTATATCACTTATTTGGGTTTTGTCTCCAAATATGCATGATGTTACAAGAGATTATTGTATTAATTTAACATATTATTTTATTTAATATCTAATTAAATAAAATAATAAATAATTGTTCTACCTTGATACTTAAATAATCATATATGAGAGGTTAGATAGTAAAAGACAAAGAAAAGGTCATATATAGAATATTGCTATTCTAAGGTAAAGGAAGAACACAGAGAAGATAAGTTTACTGAAAGATGAAGAGAAAAAGATATTAGTGAAAGAGATGTAATACTTTAATAAGCTTCTAAATGAAGATGCAGAGTTGGATGGTAGCTCAAATATAGAAGTCAAAGAGACTATAATTGAAAATATAAAATAATGTAGTTTCAACAAAAACATGTAGGAGCAGATCACATGCCTGTTGACATGTATAAAATTTTAGTGAACTAGGAATAAAGTGGTTAATTAGTCTATTTAATAAACCAGCAATAGGAGACTCAATGAGAGAGTAATGGAGGAAGAGCTGAATAGTATCATTATATAAGAAAAAAGATATGTAATAGGAATGTGATCATTACAGAGAAATATTAGTTTTATCTCTCTGTAATGATCACATTTCCATTCATTACATATCTTTTTTCTTCAAGTCATACAATGAAATTCTAAGAAAGGATTAGGAATATTAGTATTAAGAATAAGACTATACCTAAACAAAAATCATCACTAAACCCGATATATTTAAAGCTATACACCAACCAATACCGAATATTATCAGGCTAGAAACAGCTATAATATTAATAATTTATAAGATAATTTGGCACTAAAGTTAGACGTTAGGCACCATCTCTTGATAAATTTAATAATTATAAATTTTAATTAAATAATGTAGAATTACTAGAAGAAAAGAATTGGCCTGAAGTGTACTCGAATCAACAACTTCTGATTACCGTGCAGATGCATTGCCAATTACGCTACCCAGACTGGAGAATTATTAATATTATAGCCGTTTCTAGCCTGATAATATTCGGCATTGTTGGTGTATAGCTTTAAGACTACACCTATCTAATTTGAAAAAATTTTATATATTTTAATGCCTTCAAATTCAGAACAGGTAAATTCATTTTCAAGTAAAAAGTAGCATCAATTTTAAGCAGAGATAAGTTTCTGAATGGTAATTAAGTGAACTGTAAGTGAATTAGAGTTATATAAATTGTGCAATTTTCAGATAAAAATTAACCGTTGCATGTTTGTATACATACCATAGCATACCAAAAATAAAAAGACTGAAATAAATATAATAAAATTTAATTCCAGGAATGACAACAAAGATATTTTCCTGCAAAGTTGCAGGAAAATATCTTTGTAGATGGTTAATGATCTGTTGCAAGTAATTCATTATTATAAATTCTTACAGAATACTGAAAAATACTGATTGAATTAAATTTGCTTAAGAACGTAATTTGGAAAAAATTTAGTTATTTTCTCTTAATTATGCTAATTCACATATATTATTTACTGCCNTTTATTTTATTGATATATATAATTTCAAAAACTTTGCATAACCTTTGCCACTATATATCTAGGTACTATGCCTTTGGTCACAGCCATTGCTCCATAGGCAAGTTCATAATTGCAATTTAAAATCAGCATATAGCCTAACCCACACCATTTTATGGTATCTGAAAAGATATATTCATGCATATAATCTGTAAGTTATGTTAATTTCTGTTCTTTTTTTTAGTGATGTTACAGAAATGGAAAATTTCTGTAACATCACTAAAAAAAAAAAAAAACATGACTTGTATTCCATAAGCGTTCTGAATCACAGAGTTGTTATCAAAACAGACAAAGTTTGCCATTGAAATTATCATACATTAATTTTATTTTACAAAATGAAAAACTTTTTACATTATTTTACATCTCTCTCTCAACTTGCCAACATATAAATTTTACATCTTTCAGTATCATTCATACAATTGTAATTCATTTGAATAATCCTAATTTGTTTTTTTTTTCATTTAACTAATTTAAAGCTTATTTAATACTGACTTTAATGAAATATTTAATATTAGAATTATTTTCTAGAATGAAAATTCTATTAAATATCTATAATTGAGAATTATAAATTCTAGTGAAAGGAACTTCTATATTTCTATAAAGAAATATTACAATATCTTCATCTACAGAGTACTTAGTTTAATGAATGCATTTTCACTATCATTAAAGCAAATAAGTAGTATACATTAAATTTCTAACTAGTAATTAAGATTTTTTTTTACAATTTTTAGATAATTCTTTTAATGACATTTTAACAATGAATTTCATGAAATATTTTTCAATATTTTCAATAGTTTAAAATTGAAATAGTTTGATCATTGTAATGACATACTTGCATATGCAGTTTATTTTCTTTTGTTCTGANTCTTTCTATAAAACAATAACTCATAACTTGATTTAATTAATTAACTCCAAATAATCTGCCAAAATATCGGACTATTTTTGGCTATGTTAATGATTAGTTATTAATTAATTTGACTAGAGATAGGCAAATATGCTGCCATCATATACTAATTTTGATAATTATAATAAATTCATTTTTAATTTAGAAATTTCTGAAAGAAGAGAATCAGACTGGAATGGGACTCAAACCCACAACTTCTGCTTACTGTGCATTGTCAATTACATTACCCAGATCTCCATCCTTGCTTCCAGAACTAGCAATGTTTCTTCCAGAAATTTCTAAAATGAATTTATTATAATTATCACAAGATAATAGAATATCTGTCTACCACTTGTCAAATTAATTAGTAACTAATCATTAACATAAGCTGATAATNGGGAATCTTCCTAGTTACCTACACCGCATCAAGAAAAGAGACAATGATTACTGCAGCTGTGACAACACGACAATAGGTGACATCAGCCATACACTCTTGGACTGTCCACTGTATGATGCACCTAGGGGCAAACTAATCACTCAGTGCGCGGAGAACGGCAAGACTTGGCCCCCACCATGGGAGGACTTTCTCAGCACCAAAAAGAACTATTCACTGCTTGAAAAATTTATCACCGAGTGCGGGATCTTCGATCATTCCAGCGATCGGGCCTGTATGGAGGCTCGCAGTAACCGGCCACCACTCCTCTACGCAGGGCGACCCTACTGTTGTACTAGGTTGTCCTCTCAGACTGCAATGTATAAATAGGCGCATCGGACTTTAACTTATGAAGTGTTACCCTACTGTAATGCGGTGTTGTCCTCTCCATCTACAAAACCTCATCTGTGTACTTAGGATTATATATAATACTTTATCTATGTACTGTACCTTGGATTATACAAAACCTGTGTTATGTTACCTCTAGTGAGGGTATGTTACCTTCTATCTGTGGTATTGTGATTATGTATCCCAATTGTATCCTCTGTATCGTCATGTCTCATCTGACCAAATTGGTCCCTGTAAATATCAATATTTTGTCTTAAATAAGTGCAATGTAACATGCCAATGGGATCCCACCCTTCACACTCCCCTTCTATGCTTTCATTTTCCTTTCAAACCACAACTTCAACTTCCAACTTCCAAGGGCTAAGTCATAAGACAGCCTTCTCTCTTTGGACTCAGGTTCTCAGGTCAGACATAATGCTACAAAGAGAGAGAGAAATTATCAGCAAATGCAAATGCAAGTGCTAAAGTGTCAGATTTTATTTCCAAAAAAGTAATGGGTGAAATGAAAACTCTGGTTGTGTATGCATACATGATAAGCAAATGTAGGTGATGAAGCTACACTTGCTTAACATGTATGCATACACAGCCAGAGTTTCAGTTTGATGGGCTGTACCTCAAAAATAATTCAGAAACTATATGACAAAAAGTTCACTTGTGGCCAAAAGAAGACTCAAGTTATCATTGTGTGTTTATTGCACCTTGTGCCACAATTGTTTTCAGAAACAAACTTGAGAAAAGCTAATTATACATCAATATTTATAGATAGTTTCAACTGTGGTGTTTTGAAGATAGTTCCAGTTCTTGTTCAATACTTCATCTCAGAAGAGGAGATGAAAACAATGATTCTGGAAGTTTTAGATTTACCATGTGAAACTGCAGACCAGCTTACAGAATATGTATGGCAATAGGTGACAATGTGAATTGTTGATTAAAAAGTTGTTGCCTTGTCGGCAGATAGTACCAATACAAATTTTGGTGGTAGTCTAGAAGAGGAAAGAACAATGTTTTCATAAATTGAACTGTACACTGATAGGCATTGCATGTTCGTTGCATGTTCATTCCATATCATAAATAATACTACACAATGATGCATTGCCCATGGATGTTCAAGCTATTATTGAAAAACTATATCAGCATTTTTATATTTTATACTGTTAGAGTAGATACACTCAATGGTGTTTTTTTAACTTTTTGAATAACGGCATGTATGAAGTTCTCAGGTCTTATTTCCTTTCCCTTGATAAACCACTATTGCTTCTGAAAAATTTACTTAATAATCTAATTTCAGAGCTAATAGCAACATTTCTAGAATGTCAATTTGAAATGTTTCATGCAACAATTTGTGCAATAAAAGATTATAGTCACACTTAAGCTAAATCTATTATTGAAAGCCTCTTAGAGAAACATCAGTTCAGATGAGATAACAATTTTGCAACACAAAAGGAATAGTCCTTACAGAAGATGGACTCATCACAGAAAGTTATGCTGATTATAAACAGGAATTTTATGATACCTGAATAGAATACATCTGAGAATGGTCTTCTGACACCCTGACTTTCAACAGTTTGTCTTGGAGATTTTATTGAAAAATCCAGAAACTACTCTCACTTGGAAAAATGTGCAGAAAAGTTTAACAACCATTGAAGAGGTCTGCCAAAACACAACAATCAATGAAACTGAACTATTTCACGAGGTCTTGAAAATGGCAAATATGGAAAAAGAAGATATAAAAAAAATCTACAGAAAAGATTGGTTTGAATGATTCAGCAATGTCAGAGTGACTGGTTTCAATTCTTAAATTCAAAGAAAATTGTTGAGTTCTGCTGCATTCCTGGCACAAATGCCAGGAATGGAGAAGAAAGGCTGTTTTCCCAGATGAATTCTTTATGGACAAACAAAAAGAATAGGTTATCTGTAGAAACTGAAAGCTATGCTGATTGTTAAAATCTTTTACAATAAGGACTGTGTGGAATTTCATAACTTTGTATTACATAATTGTTCTTTAAGTGAGGAAATACATTCATCTGAGAAGTACATCATAGCGAAAGATTAATGATTTAGCCTTTAAACTTCAATTTTAAAGTTTAGGTATGTTTTTTCCTCTTTGCTTATGTTTTTTAAATAAGTAATAAAATTCTATTGTTCTATTCAAACCAAAAGTGTCCTGTATTTTTTTAAAATAAATATATGAACCCTATTTAAAATGAATAAGAAGAAATATTGCATTTAATGGTTTCCAGATGTGGAGAACAATGTGTGGTAAGGGCATAGAGTTTGAGTTTCATAGAAAAGTTCTGTTTCCAAGCCTTTCTCAGACAAGAGAAAATGGGTTAGGGACTTTATGGAATCAAGGGGCAATGTCTCAAAAAAGATTGAGAAGATTGATTCTCAATCTTTTTTGAGACATTGCCCTAGGGTTAACTAAAATAATGTTGAGACATTGATCTAGGGTTAACTAAAATAGATATGAAAGATATTCAAGAATTGCTTCATTCCCTGATAATGACCTTACTGTTGAAGAACTAATTAATCTGGATGTAGAACAAGTGCAGAAAAGCTCAGGGTGAAATTTAGATACAATGAAAAAATTCACATTAAAAGGACTTTATGAAATGCTTTATGTCTCTGAATCTCTTAAGTAAATATAATGGATAGGGATCCTAATGTTGAATGTTCAATGAATGCATGTTGAGAAATAGAAAAAACCATTTACTGCTATTGAGTCATGTCACAAGAGAAGAAACAAATTTTCGAATCAAAATGTCTCCTACATTATTTTTCCAAAAAAATTAACTCATTTGTTTTTTGTTTAATAATAAAGTTTTAAAACAAAAGCTGCATTTAATTTATCACATTCTTCTTTTAAAGTATGTACTGTACATAAATATCTAGTGTAATATTTAATATTTAAAATTTTAAGCATAATTTTGAAAAATTCTTGGCAACAATTGCCTATTTCCCATATGGTTTTCATATTATTCTTCCTAATCATCATGGTTTTGATTATTGTGTGTTTTTCTTGGCAACATTAACCACAATAACTGGGGTTTCCCTATATATAAGATTTCACATAAAAGTTATATTTATATATTTGTAGATTGACAAAGTGAAGCTAAATTTTATTTGTTGTAGTAATCCAATACAAATTAATTATGAAATTCTATTGACTTTCATCATCCAATAGTATATACAGACTTCCAGGGGAGATGGGCCTCACTCGAAGGTATAGCCCATAAAAGAAACAGAAATAAGGAAAAATGTTGGCGAAGAGATTAGGGCAAAGGAGAAAAACAGATAGATAGAAAAGGTAGGACAGCAGAAGCGCCCCCATTGGGACCATAATCAGATGTATTTCTTTTATTTTTAATCCAAAACAGCATTGATACAAATTATCACAAAAGTTTACATTGTAGATGTTTTGTAAATATCCAAAAACGATTCGAAGATTTAGACAATTAGAAGTACAAAAATACTATATTATGAGCAAATAATAAGGAATAAACAAATATATACATTGTTTACAAAATAAAAGCACCCCCTAAATTTTTGAAGAGAAAAAAAAAATTTACTGGTCACATTGCGTTGCTGTTATTATTATAATCAAAATTAAAATTTTAATCTTTATGACAAAAATTATGTAATTAAAATAAATAGACATCAGAAAAATAAATGTGCTTACCTTCATTATAAAAAGTGACATAAATCTCTTCATTACAGTTTATAAAAATAAAGCACACTATAAATATCAAGACACTGAGCCCAGTAATCAATTATTCTAAAATAAGATAATCTAATCTGTAAATAAAATTAATATAGTTTTTAGATATTTAAAAATAAACAAATAATTATTATTAAATTAATTTCACTTAATAAATAAAAATTCTTAAAATACAGGAAAAAAAAAATCAAGTCTGTTTATTTCAGAAAGCCAGCATTTTCTAATGAAGAAATATTTTCAGTGAAAATCTAATCATCATCAGTTTAAAATTACCCATTGTTTCATGTAATATTCCAATTAAAAAATTAAAATATTGTAATCATAAGTTAAATTTTAATAACTTTTATAAAGAGTGGTGAGAATTAAACTGTCGGTTCTCAAACATGCATGGAGCTGCCTCCACTAAACCAAAACAAAACTTGGTACATACGCAATTCAGATCATAGGACAAGGCTCATGGGATAAAAAATTAGTTGAAATTTTTACCACTGGTGAAAAATGTGGTGCTGTTCAGTCAAAAATGTATGCCGCTTGCTGTTTATCAGGGGCATGTGCACTCCACGTCAGAGCTGAAGCCCAGCATAGTACGGCATGTCTCCCAGATTTCTCCTGAAATGTTACATGTTACATGTAACAGAAAAGGATCCTACAGTGAGTACATACTGTAAATGTGTAAAATGTAATTTTAATCTCCTAATAAATTTTTTCTATCTGTCTTATAATTGTCGTACATGCTGTGCCACACTCTCCCTGGTACTAAAAATTTCAATAAATTTTTTCTCTTTATAAATCTCTTTCCCCCTGATCTGCATTGCACATGTACAGTCGACCCCCCTATAACGTATGTTCCTATAACGACAATTCCTATAACGTAGCAAAAAAATTGTAGAAACTTTCGTATAAAGTACCTCCTATAACGTCGTTTCGCGACAAGATNAAATTTCTAAATTAAAAATGAATTTATTATAATTATCACAAGATAATAGAATATCTGCCTATCACTTGTCAAATTAATTAGTAACTAATCATTAACATAAGCTGATAATTTAGAAAATTATTTGGCATTAACTAGTTAAATTGAATTATGAGTAATTGTTATATAAATTAAACTAAAATATCTTTTGTTACAAAATTGTTTTCCATAAATCCAGGAGAGCATATTCTGCAAATTTTATTGTAGTTCCTTCATTAGCTTGCATTAAACACAGCACTGAATGTAGAAATTTTATATTTTAATGCCTTTACACTTTTTATCTCTAGCAATTTAGTGCTTTAAATGCTAACATTTTTGGATGTATTTAATGCCCATCTTCAGACAACCATAAATGAGATCAAATAACTCAAATTCCAAAAAATAATGTATATTCCAAAGCTTAAACTTAACATTCAATCAAGAAACTATACTAGTATTGGAAATAATAAATTGCTGGAGATAAAAGATGTGAAGTGCATTAATTTAATGAAATCCAGTTAGAATATTTATATTTTAACATTCACAATCTTTCCTTTCATAAATATTGTGGTTTTATTTCATCATTTAAAATAAATAGCTTACAATTTAAAAAAAAAATTATGCATTTTATTCAAATTATAAGTAAATAAAAATCATTATTCACATTCAATCCAATTCTGTAAATGCATAAATTTAATGTATATTAAGAAATTTTATCTATTGTGGCACTCTGAAATGTCTGTAAGAACTGAAATTATTTCCCATTCCCAGAACACTGAAGAAAAACAATGATTCCTATTGTTTGTTATCAATGTAATTAGTTCAAAAAAACTAAAAATTAGCACAAGTCAATTTACTTTTTATAAAACTAAAGTTTAAAAATCAACAAATTATATATTGTAATTCTGTATCACACAAAATAGGATGTCAGTTCCATCCACAGGTTATTCTGCCACTGATTGCAAGATGATCAGTAAAACTAAACTAAAAATTTTCTGTCATTGAATTTCTTTTACTGAATTGCAAAATGTTTAGTTAGTTTTTAAAAGTTTTATTGAATGTATGAAATATCTGATTTAGTTTTCTTAGAGAAGAAAACTAAATCAGATTAGAGAAGTGAAGTTTTGAGTAATTTGAATTAAAAACTAAGTTTAAATTAAATAAATAAATAATGACATTTGTTTAATAAACATTTTGGCACGTTCATAGCAAGTTTTATCATAGGATAGTTGATTAAAGATCATGTAGCGAAGTCCAAGATGTGAAACTTTTTAAATGCAAAAAATTCTATTCATCGACAAGACAAACTAGTTTTTAGAAAAATTAAGGGTAAAAAATACGCTATATTTTCATACTATGCCAAAAAATAGTGCCAATTATTCTATTTCTGCAATTTTAATTCCACATCTGGATACAAAAGATCATCCATGAATTACTGTTTGAAGTTTTAAATCTATAAAAATTCTTCTACATTAGCTATGAATATACATATATTGATTACACATTAAATGCCATTATCTAGCCACAACAGAAAGTTATCCCTATCACTTTGCATAACGATGCTGTACATTCACAGCATCATTATACAAAGTGAGTCAAAATTCACTTAACATCCTTATAAAATCAAACTGAATTGAGCAAGGAAAATTTTGTTATGTTAGAAACAGGTTATACCTACAGGCAACCATCTCAATGCATAAGAGGTATTTCAATGTTGTTTAACAGACATGGAAATGGAGAAATTGGCTAGATTCACTTCATAACTTTTCACAGATTAAAGTTAGATAGAAAACAATTCACCATTGCATTTCTCTTGAAATCCTATCACTCATTTTATGTATTGCATGTCCACATTCCCTTTAAATGAAATTGTGATGAAATCAAAATGGTAACCATCAGATTAATACAAAAAGATGATTGTCCCTAGGCATAACATATTTCTATCATGCCAAAATTTCCCTTGTTCAACTCAGATCAATTCCATAAGGACATAAAATGACTCATCCTGTATTTCTACAGTTGCTTAGGTTAATGTATATATTACAGTAAAGTGAATATGAATAGTGAATCAATCTTATTTTTTGTCAAAAGAAATGTTGATTTATAAAAAATATTTCTGAAATATATAATAATAATAATCTTAATAAAAATTCAATTGCTGTTCCATTTGTAAATTTTAATTCCACTTTCTACATTATGGGAATTTATATTTATCTACACTATCCTCTTGACAAATTTCAAAACAAAAATTATAAAACGTCCTAATAAAAATTGATTAATTTTTATTACACATTTTCATCCATTTTGTAAATGAAAACAAAATTCTTATTGATTTAAGTGCTAATAAATTATTATAATGCATACAATCAATCAATTAGCTGTTATTGCTGATTGAAGAAACATTCTGAATTGATTTTTTACCATTCCATTTGTGATTCATCATAGTTTGTTAGACTGCCTTTATCAAAACATTCTTAAATCCTTCAAGATTTTTTGATGGCTACTGATTTATATCAAATTGAAGCTCTGTATACTGAATAAAAAAACCAAAAGTCATTAGC